AAACCGCGGACATTTGAAGGATTTAATAAACTCCCCTGGACAAGACTGGACAGCCCCCAAAAAAGAGGACATGTCTGGGTAAAAGAGGACGTATGGACACCCTACATTAGGAGCTGTAAAACTGACTAAATTTGATTAACTGTCCTGCAACAAGAAGAAGAAGAGGGATCAAGCCTTGCCCTTACATGGTAAGACGGATCACAGACAACTTGAGCATGATTATACTCACCCTGAGACTTTTATCAGGTTTTAACTTCAACTTCACTTCCTGTTGTTTGGACAGAATCAACGGATGAACTGATGACAAAGTTATTGTCTTTGCAAACTGGTTAACGTTTCCATCTGTGGCGAGTAACAATCTCATGATGCTACGGTGGCCGTCGAAGGTCAATGATCTGCAACAGCCGAGCGATCTTCATCAGGAGACATGTACTGCGAATACAGAAACAACTTCGCATTCTTTGCAGTGCACCCCCTACAGGCCTGGAGGTCTTCTGTATAACCAATTTTTGCAGCCCTTTGCTGTCATGTCTTGGGTCATATAGAGTCTATTAAAACCCAATTTGAGGGTTTTTTGGTTGGGTAAATAATAACGGGTTATTTTTCTGAGAGTAACCCAATAATTGAGTCAGAACGTTGGGTTCGATTGACTCTACGTGGTTCCTAGGCCTAATGGCAATTAAAGTGACCTGATGGCCTTGTCAACTTTGACCTTGATTTTATATACAACATGATATAGATATATACAATATATATTGGGGTAGCTACCTCAACGTATGTTGGGCAGCTGGGGTAGCTCGGCAGAGAATTTGGCTCCCAACTGGTGGGTTGGAGTTTAAATCCCGATTGAGACACATCTGTAGGGAGTGAAGTACATTCATCAGTGCCGGTCCTTAGGCAAGACCATGTTTGTTTACTAAACATGAGTGTGTACCATTGAAAGCCAAACCCGTTCAGACATCACCCGGGTTAGCAAGGTCTGCGTCACATTGTGATGAGAAATGGTCTACTGGAATAACAAAGAGAAGTCAGTGGACACGAGATGAGAACAACGCTTTGTTGTGATGCTACTTCTCCAGTAACCAGCGGGGTTACATGAACAGGCTGAGGGATGTATGGTTGCTTCAATACCCACAATCAGTCCACTGAAACAGCCAGGGTACCAACTGTACAACTGATTCCCACCAATCAGTTCGATAAAAGTACATGGGAAAATAGGGTACAGGTCCTAAAAGCAAAGCTCCCAAAAAAAGCTCAAAAAATGATCACGAGTCAAATTAACTTGAACTTGACTTATTGAGTCGACCCAAAGTTTGGGTTAATTTGAATAATCCAACATTCTGGGTCAAAATAACCCAATAAGTATTCGGTCCCTTTTCAACCCTGGTGTTTTTGAGCCTTTAGGGGTTTTTAGAGTACATGATAAAACTAAAGGATTAATCATGACAGGAAAACAAGACAGATTATTGATGAGAAGACTTTAAAAACAGTCCAGCTGTAGAGTCTGATTCACAGACTCAGTGTTTGTATGTTAACTGATTGCTGATTTAATGTTTGATTGTGTGAATTTAAGCGTGAGTAAAAATAAACCTCCTCCTCACGCCGTTTGGACGTGGACACCGCAGAAACCACTGAAGGAACAGATTCAAGGACTTCTTCTTCTTCTTCTCTCTGTGTTCAGTCTGCTTCTCGTTATCTCGTCATCGCCCCTCCTCCTCCTCCTCCACCACCACCACCTGTTCCTTCAGCTCCCCCGCTCTCCCTCTTCTGCCGAGCTTTATTCCTCTAATTTTATTTCATTTTATACTTCTTTACTGGTGGCAGATTAAACTGGCGGGACTGTAATGAGATGCCATTTTACTGCAGCAGTAGGAGTCGCCATCTGCCTCCATCTGCTGCCTTATTCCATTACACCTACACACACACACACACACACACATGCACACACACACACACACAATGGAGTGGACATGCAGCACAACAAGCTACGTGCACGTGCAAACACACACATGCAAACACATGCCCACACTATACATCACACTTTGCAGACGTTAAATCCAAACACACAGCGTGAAGTCCTGCAGGTGGAGAGGGGCCTTTCTCATCCGGTCTGCAGGTGGTTTTTAACCAATCACACGCCGTGACAGTGGACAGAGAGAGAGAGGGATGATGGGAGCGAAAAGACAGCACATCAAACTGTTTATTACACACCACCTCCTCCTCCTCCTCCTCCTCCTTCCTCTGCACTGTCTCATTTCCATTTATTGAACTCTTTGACTTCTGATGTTGAAAGCGGTTATTATGCACAAATTTTAATCACTTTCCCAAACTCTCCTTTTAGAACAGGAAACAGGTTTGTTTTGGACGAATCTGCTGCTGATTATGCAGGAAAAGTTCCAGGAAAGTTGACGCAACACAGACGAAATACTAAAACATTTTCACGAATAATTACAGTATCAGCGAATTTCATCGTCAAAATGGTGTAAAAGAAATAAAAGCCGGTTACCTGACACTGTTTTCATCCTCCTGTATTTGATCCTCGTCTTAGCGCAGCATTTAAAACTCCTACAAGGAAACAAAAAGAAATTAACCATATTTGGGCGTTCACACCAAAGGCGAGTAAAATCATTGACACAAAATTAAATGTTACATTAATGCAAAGACGCATACTCTGTGGCGCCAACGATGCGAACTGAGTGAGTTATTCGTGTGAATTAAGCAGTCACAAATTCGCAAGAGTTGAAATTATCTCAACTTGATATTTACATCACGATAACCAATCAGCACAAAGATTCCCGGGCGACGTATGTAAATAAACACAAATCCTTTTACTGACAGTAGACAGATGGACAGGCGGTCTGCAGCTGGGATAGAGCGCCTGTAATAGAAATCCTGGAGGGATATCCCGGCGTGGACCCTCACCAACAGGTCGTCAAATTGGGTTCAGGTAACCTGAAAATACAGCCGGAAACAGCCGTCATTGGAGGAGACTCAGACACGGCAGCGCGACGGTTGTCAGAGCAGCAATCTGCTAAACGCGGTTCACTCCTGCCACGCTTGATGGAGACTCCTCAGTTATCAGTTGGTCCCGCCGGTTGAATTGGGAAGGATCATTGTTGAAATGAGCATAAACGGGTGTCTACAGCTTTTAGGCATTCTGTTGACACACGAATCGTGCAAATGGACTAAATGATTGTCGCGAATAAAGAAAGTAAATACTTTTCATTCAAGTGTCTAGATTTGCCTGAATTAAGCGAGTAGATGATTTTACCCGTTTGGTGTGAACGCCCCTTAATGCTTTTTTACGTCCTACAAAAGCAGAAATTAAATACTCGGCTTATTGGAGAAGATCTGCTGTAGATGTGATATTTCGCTTTATCCACAGGGGGCACCAAAATCAACCCTAACAGAAAATCCCTGAGCTTTAAATCTGCACCAGAGTTTAAGATCTGTGATGAATAGATTCACTTTCAGTCCTTCTCTTCTTTTGTCTCCATCTTTGTTGTCTGCGGTCTCTTTGTCTGGCGCACAGCTACGATGATGAGTCTACAGTTCATCAAAATCCAGATAAGAGACTGTCCTACACGAACGAAAGCCTCAGCCAAACTCAGTCCACTTTATTGACCTTAATATTGTCGACCTCGTCTCTCCACTCCCTGTCTCTCTGTGTGATTCCTCTCAGGACTCTAAGATAAATTCAACAAAAGCTGAAATAAATTCTTTCAGATATACTTTCTTCTCCTGATTTAAGATGCATTTGGAAACCCTCCAAAGTTTAAAAAGCATCCAGAGCTGCAGAGGAACAACCTGGCATCGAAACAGAGCGAAGAAATGTGTCTTTAAATAAAGAGACAAACTGAGGAGTCCTTTCTCTTCAGTCTTGGCAGGTTTCTGTGCTCGCTGCTGCAGATGAGCAGCTTCAGTCCTCCTGGGGGGGAGGCTAATTGAAACCCCTCCACTCAAACCTCTGTCAGTCACCCCTGACCACTCAAGCCTGGGCACAGAAAGAAAAAGGAGGCCGATCCAGGACAAACTCAGCTGCTCTCCCTCTGTTCTGTTAATAACTTACAGGGATAATAAAGATTGAATCTGGATTGCAATTATTCTGTTTCTGCAACACCAAGATGAAGCGATCCATTTCGCTCCTTTTTTAAAGTTTAATTGGAGTGCATCGACCTGATCCAGATCCAGACTCTAAAGGATTATCAGACCTTCAGATGAATGAAACACAACAAACTCACAAATCAGCTCTTCATAGTCTGGATTTTCAGTGTGAGGAGGGTTTTATTAGTTTATATCTGCAAAAAGAGAGTATGAGGAGCAAAAACAGGAGGAAATAAAATCCAATGATGATTTACTTCTTCATTAAAACAGATATATGAATGCAGGTGCATCATTCAATCTCAAACAACGTGGGTTATATATCAGCGCTGTTGCAGATTTTCCAATTTCTCTGAATACATCAGGATTCCTGTGAGCTAAAGGTTTCATCCAAACCAGTTACATCCCTGAAGATCCACAGATAAAGATGGAAACTGATGTAAATTATCGATACGATTCTCTTATCGATTCTCATTGAGTGAGAAACAAAATAATACAAATGGGTTTGTTCACATTCTCTCTTTAATATTGTCACCTTTGGACAGAATATAAGGTTTATCAATGCAATAATAATGTCATTTTACTCCTCACTGCCTCGATGAAAGAGGCTGCCTAAGGTGTGTGAGAGCTTCCTGCTGCAGCCTCTGAGCTAGCGTGACTCTGACAGTCATCGTCATCTAAATGTAATTTAAGAAGATGGAGAGTATTTATATAGTGGGAAACATCTTTACAACAGACATGACCTGAAGGAGTTAAACGTTACCTTGATGACGCTGAGATGTTAGCGCCGCTCCTGCTTTCGCCTGTTCCAGTCTCGCACGTTACACTTCCGCAAATAACTGCATGCTGAGTGGACAAATGTTTTGGAAGTATTACCCCCCTTTGACGAAATTAAAGCTTTGCAATTGTTGCCAGTGTCACCCCGGTATAATCTTTCAGTGTGATATACAGCTAAATTCTGGAGTGCTTTTGTCTTGACGCCATGCTGGAAAGTTCTGAACCAAAACACACTACTCACGTATGACATCATCACGCATGGAGATGTAAGAGGAACCAATAAGGAGGAGGACAAACAATTCTTAGGAATCGAATCACTGGGAACTGGTTCTTGAAAAAGACAGTTATGGATTCTTATCCCTTTCCACAGATTTGTTCAAATCTACGAATCTCATATGATCATGTTCAAGTTGTCGTTAATCCATCTTACCATGTATGCTAAATGGTCCCTCTGATTCGGATCAGTTGGCTCAGTAAGAACCGGTTCTTTCAGCTCCCACATGGCTCTGGGTTTCAGAGTCGAGTCCTTGGGGATCATTTGTGTCCTCAGCTCGGTGCAGATACTGTCTGCTGCTCCAGTGGCGGCTCAAAACATGACCATGACAGGACATCAGGTTGTGGCGTCCCATTTCAACAACACCGAAGGACACATCCACCCAAAATCTGGGGAGTCTGTTTCACCTTCATGCAAAGCTGCTCTCTAAGTGTCTAAAATTGGATCCTCGTACATGCTTTTTTTTAACCAGATTACTCCTGATCAAACATTTTAACTCTGAGGATTATCTTTCCATGACTCTGTGGAGCCTGAGCTCAATATTAGGTCTCATTCTTAACCTTTACTTTTCCAATAAACTCGCTCTGCAAACAGGTGTCTCCTCCAGGTTGTGTGTTCATGCTGGCGGGAGTTGTTTGGAGAGAGAGGGAGGAAGAGGAATTGGAAGAGACGAGCGGTCCTCAATCATGATTCCTGAGCTCTATATATGTGCCGTCTCCCTTCAGCCATCTCATCAGGGGCTGGTTTACAGCCGGGATGCAAGGTGAATGCAATTAACCGCCTGGTAGGATAGAAAACCAACAAGCTGGCAGTCAGATCCAGAAATAAAAACCAAATGGAAGAGACAGAAGCGTCTGGCTCCCTCGGCTGAAAACATAACGCCACATCTTGAACCGAATCCCAGTCCACCGTCGGACACACACTTCCCTCGCTGCAAACACTAACAGGTTGCAGATTTTTCAGTCCACTCACATAACACCACCTGTCGCCGAGGAGCGCAGAGACAGTGGAGGGAGCGCTGGAGTTTTGTTGTGCACCCAGACTCTGAATTCATTTCTGGGAACAAAACAAAGTGAGAGCCGACAGACAAGAACCTCCGGGGTTTGTTGTTTCTGTTCATTCGCTCACAAACACACCGAAAAAAAAAACAAGTGAGAGAGGAACCTGAATGAGAGTCTGCAGCACAGGAGTCATGTGATGTTCAGAATGGTACGATTTGTGATTTAAACATCACATCTCATGAGGACGATACCAAAGGACTTCAAACCGAACATCCTCAAACTGCTGCAGAGAAAAATCCCAAGAAGACATAATGAGGATTTTTTAATAAATGAAAAGGCACGAAGAAAATGTCGAAACTCCATGAAATGAAACGTCTTTAAAAAAGTTATTTTAATAAACGACTTTGAGAGAAAAATGGACGAACACAAAGAAGCGGCGAGGAGAGGATGAGGAGGAGGAGGAAGAGGAAGAGGAATGGTACACACAAACAAACACAATTTCGTTTTGTTGAGAAAGAATGAGGAACTTTTGATTCCTGCTCAGAGGATGAGACTCCATGGTTACCGCTGAGGGGATACGAGCTACAGTGGTTACCATGGTTACAGGCCTGTGGAGCTTGTGGATCTGCTTCAGTTTGGAGTAAAGTCATTTGAAATGAATGTTTGGCATCAGAAGATGGAAGTGTCCGTGAACCGAGGTTTATTTGGTCTTTACTGCAGCTACAGAGGACACGGGTCAGATAACTGGGATGAGAGACGACATGTTGAAGGTAAATAAATTAAATCTACATCCAGTTTAATGTCAGACTGAACTCTTGCTTTTTTTAGAAAGTTGATTTTTGTGGTCTGTAATCAAGATTCAAACAAAAAGCCTCACTCTTTGAATCTTGATGGTTTAAAATAAAAATGAACCTGTAGTTTTAGTAATCGAGATGTATTCTCTCTGTCTAGTTCCCACCTGGTTAAAAATACATCCAGGGATCCTCCTAAACCCCGGGCCGGTGTGTTCAAATTGGTAACCAGGCCTCCGAAACATTCGCTCCTCTGAGGAGCTGAAGGGTTTTTCTTTGAGAGGATCATGAATAGATGATCTTAAACCGTTTGGAGGGCAGAGCTCCTTTGTTGCAGAACATCCTCTAAAATCTTGAGTGCATTTAAAATCATAAAGGTTATGATTACAAACACTGGAAGGGGAGATAAGGATACAAAGAGGCGCATTTCAAAGTGAATCTCATTTTTTGGAGTTAAAACATCACAAGTTTGGAGTTTACGTCTCTGAAGTCGTTACAAACAGACTCTGCGATATGATTTCTTTTATTAGGAGCGTTATAGTTTCCAGGATAATAAATGCTTGTAATGTCTGAGTCAGCTGAAGTTGCATGCTGGGAAAAAAGGAGATAATAAAATTGCATGACTCAAAAAACAGTCAGTGAAATTTCTCTAGACTGACTCTCTACCTTTATCTCAGGATGGGATCACGTCCAAACTGTCACTGTATTTTTGGTGGACTGCTCCTTTAAGGACGTTTTACATAAAAAGCAGCTTACGATGCTCACTGAAGCAACAATAACAAGTACAAGTCTGCAGATGGACGGAGGCTGTCATGGGAGCAGAGTCCTAATGTGAACCATGTCTGCAGCCCCGCCCCCTCTGAAAACCTCTGTGGTGAACGTGACCGCTCACCTCGGGTCACCTCTGAAACCATCGAGTCAGGAAGTGTTTTTGAAGGAAGGCTCTGAAGTATCGCTCTGAGTTTGACATCTGTGAGTCTGATGGAGCCGTGAGAGGGAGGCTGTGAGTAAGAAGAGTTTTAATGGGTGGTCCTCACGAGCCTCAACCCCCATTACAACAACACAAACGTGGGTTTATGATACACTCTAAAAACACTTATTGTTATTATTATTATTTCTTCAACACAATTCCTGGGTTATATGTGTTGAGTTAAATTTCTGGGTTATTTTTCAGATCCATCCCCATTTCTTAGGTCATATGGATTCTATTGAAACCCAATTTGGTTTTTTTTAAATGGGTTAATAATTATGGGTTATTTTTCTGAGAGTAACCCAATAATTGGGTCAGAACGTTGGGTTCGATTGACTCTACGTGGTTTCGAGGCCTAATGGCAACACCTGGTGACCTTGTGAACTTTGACTTTGATTTAATATACAATATGATATTTATATTGGGCCAGCTCGGGGTAGCTACCCCAATGTAAACTGGGCGGCTGGGGTAGCTCAGCAGGTAGAGCATCCAGTTCCTGACCAGGGGGTTGGGGTTCAAATCTCACATGAGACACATCTGTAAGAAGCGAACTACATCCACCAGTGTGGGTTCTTGGGCAAGACCCTTAATGCTATGGCGTACCTCATAAACATGAGTGCGTTACTATTGAAAGCCAAACCGGCACAGACGTCGCCTGGGTTAACAAGGTTTGTGTCACATGGCATTGTGTAAGAAATGGTCCACTGGAACGACAAAGATTGAAGGCATTGGACACGAGATGAGAACAAGCCTCTGTTGGGATGCTAGTGCTCCAGTAAACCTAATCAGCGGGTCAATGATATTTAAATACACAGATATGAGTTTTTAAATGCATGGACTGAGCATTGCCAACACATCAGATTAATGCCAAAGTGTCGGATATTAAAAATGACAAATTCACCAGGTGCTCTCCTGGAAGTATAGAGCACTGATCTTGCAAAAAGCTCAGATCCAAAATAACATCTCTAAGACAGAAAGAGAGAGTTACTGCCAAGACGAGTGACTCTAGATCATTCCGAGCCTGAATTCCGATCACTATGAGCAACTTGGTAAGATGGATCACAGACAACTTGAGCAAAATTTGAAGTTACCCATGGATCTCTGCGGGTATGATATGTTTAGATCAAATTGTTTTGCAGACTTGGATCGTAGGAAGAAGGGAGAGAGATTAGACCATCAGACTTTTAACAGGATTTAACCAAAGTGGTTCTTTTCATTCAATTTGTAAAAGTCGTGTTGTTTTGTTTCTCAAGATTTTGAAGCACTTCCGTGAATTCTTGGTATTCTGATGATGTCTTTGCAAGTAGTGCGCCGTCCAGACGAGACTGCAGACTGGCATGCAAAAGTTGGAGTCATGAAAAGGGGAGCTGATGACTGATTCAGGATTCTGCTCTGGAGGAGGTAAAAGCTCCACCATGAAGAGGGCAAAGGTCGATCTGGTTTGGTCACCAGTGCAGCTGCCATTGTGGTTTTGCAGTCGCCTACCATACTCTGCAGCCGGCTTTAATACTGTTTTTAGGTGACCACAACAGCTCAGGTATAATCCAATATATTCAATATATCCACCTGACTGTTATTGATTATAATGCGGTTGCAAATCTCTCATGCATGTTGCGGTCCACGTGTTCGTTCCAGTGGGAGATTCTTGAGGTCGGAGGCTGGGCGACTGTTTTCCTCTCTGTTCACTGACCTTCACGCTCTCCTCACCTGAACTTTGCTCTAAAATCAATAACTAATTTTCCACCTTTTAGGGGCAGTAATGGTCTGTAAGTGAATTACTCACACTGCCAACAAAAAAAGGCTTTGGGAAATGATCGTCCATGAATAAAATATTTAGGAGGGAGATAAAGAATCAAGACCAGGTGGTGATGGGGGTAGAAGAGGCAGTCTATAAAGATGCAGGTCCATCACATGCAGCGTGCACAGAGTCCGTGGGCTGCAGGCTGAGCTGCACAAAGTGAGTCAGTGTTTTCAGAGATGCACAGAATCCACCAGCAGCTTCCCACACAGGGAGAGCGAGGCCAGGACAGGGTGAAATTAATCTGATTGAAGCTCAAAATAAAGCGCCTCCACAGCCACGTACCAGGTCAGTTAGCAGAAATATTTCACTGAAGACCAGAATGAAAAAAGAGGCTTTCAATTCTCCAATTGATTTCAGCTCAGTGATTCTTGTCATGAGAAGTGTTCGGTGAATTATGAATGTCTGCGTTCGAGCTGCAGAGCACGAGAGCTGTCTGGAAAAAAGAGGTGGGATCATTGTTGTCAATGTCAGCTAAGCCAGTGACCCTACACTGGAACAAAGATGACCCTACACTGAAACAAAGATGACCTTACACTGAAACAAAGATGACCTTACACCTAACATTTTAGGAGAGAAGGTGAACAAGAACAAAATTCAGTGAGTCGAGTCTGTAATTCAGTGAGTAAGTAAGCAGGTAAGTCACTCAGTCACTGAAACTGGACTTTAGAAAACCTGGAGTGGTGGTTTTGAATCAAACTTTTTTAAGTCGGACTGAAACCGGCTGAAGCGTTCTGCTCATGCTCATGCACACGCTGAGGGTTGTCTCTCCTAAATTGACCTGTTGTGAAGCCATAACCCCCTTAGTTTCTGTTGCTAGGTCCGTCAAGCTTCTTGGAGCTGACAGACTGTCGACACACTACCATGGCAAGAAGAAGTATTCCAGCGCCTCTCAGTGACGTTTTTTTGGAGGAAAAGGTGTTGCAATATGCAGTGGAGGGTTATATTCACAATATTAAAATAATTAACGAAGGGGAGACTACGACTATCGAGGCTAAAGCACACCGGTCAATGGCAAAAACGCAAAAATCCCATAAACTCTTTCTCAAATGGAACGAACATAGCCTAATGGACCAGTCATGTTCTTGCACTGCCGTGTAAGTTCTCTTAGCCTACTATTGTTAAAATATATTCATCTGTGTCCACATCCTCCTAAAGACTATGAGAGCGCTAGTACAGCCAATAAACCTACAGGACTGATAAGCTAGCTTGCGTCATTATAAGACTAAAAAATGTTTTGCAGCTCCACACATCGATTGTAAAGGTGGCACGAATGTAAGGTGTCAAGCTACTAACAGTCTATGGCGTCACATTCTTACATCCATGTTCGGCACTTTTACAGCAAGTACAGAGTTCGGATATTCAGGAGTAGACTTCCTGTTCACAAAATGCTCCATGGAAGATAAAAACAAAATAAGTTTAAATTGTCTGTTGGGACGATTATGTTAAACTTCGATGTAAACTGACAAAACAACATTAGCGAGCTGTGGCGTTAGCCTAGCTTAGCCTTACATTAGAGCAGACGTATTAATGCTTGTTTATTTTCGTGACATTTAGCAGGGAGTGGGGCTTTTCACGTTGTTTTATCCACAGTAGGAAACGCTCCTTCTGTGTTTTCAGCTTTGAAAAGGGAAAGAAAATGACTCTTTAAGCCAAACTCTCGGGGTATCAAGTGTCCAACTTCTGTGTACTGTGGGCACATCACTTCACCATTTCACTAGTGGTCTGCTGCTTGTCGGACCTTGCTTACATAATACATACGATTACATAATTGCTAGGCTGTGTGATTGGACAGTGACCATTTGGGGGCGTGGTTTTATGAAAGTTCAATTAAGCCTACCTTTATTAACAGACAGTAGCAGCGCCTTCTTCTCTTCGGACAGTTGTTTCCTTTCACCCCACATCTGCTGCTGCTGTTGTTGTGGGGTCAGTTTTTAGACGCCAAACTATGAAAAGACCAAACTTTTAAGTGGGTCTCCAGAGGATAAACGCCAGACAGGCGCCAGAATTTGTGCCTGCTTTCGAAAAAAGTGGGCGACCTGCACTTCAGAGTCCAATTCGAAAGCTATGAATCTCAAACAGGCTTGGAGGGAAATCTCACTCTGCACAACTCAGATACCTTAAGCAGACACACACACACACACGCACAAACACAAACACACACATCGGCATACATCAGGATCACAGGCCGTGGTGAAACAGCTTCTCTAAGTGATTCCACTGAAGCCTGCAGGTGTTAAGACTGTGTTACTGTCACACCTCAATAACCAGCTGCCCTTAAAGGATGCATCTCCTCCAACCCCGTCATTACAGCGGAGCAAGTTTCTGCCAGTCAGCTGTGACAGAGAGACGGTGTTAAGAAGAGCAATGTCTCCTGCTGCTTCACATCTACCTTTATTTTTAGCAGCTGATTTAGACTCTGTGACCGTCAGTGGCGGCTGCTGGTCTTTCAAGGAGGGGAAGCTCATTTTTCTGGCCTACATCATAATTGTATTTGTTTATTAGTATGTAACAGAACAGAGTCGCCAAACACAACGGCAGTCGTTTTTAATAAAGACAGAAGTCGCTGAGGATCGGTAAAGTCTCCGGAGCAGTTAAGAACAACGGAATGAATGACTTGGAAAATGCTCTGGTAGGTGTTTTATTCTTCAAGATCGCTGATTCGCTTGTTTAGCTGTCAATCAAAAAAGGATTTCGCCTCAGACAGCTCATCCAATCATGGATGCAGAAGCTTGCAGTCCGGGAGAAAGTCGGGACCGCCCTCTCGCCATAGAACTCCAGTGAAGCTTAGCTTCCATTGGGCGGGACAAAGCCCAGCATTTATCCAATGAGCATCTAGTTTCGCTGCTGGAACAACCCACTTTTAGCTTCCACATTGAAGTCAGCAGAAGCCCAGCGTCAGGCTGTTTAAAGCGCTGAGGCGCTGCGAGGATGAATGAGAACGAAGTTATGCCGGTTACCTGTGATTATCAGCTTCTTATCACAGTGTCTGAACAAAAGATGAAGGCTTTCTAGTGCGTATTTAGTTAATGAAATGTACACACAGCAGTACGTATTTCACCACTTTTTCTTTTTTTGGGGGGGTGACATTTTAAGGGAAGCCGAGCTTCCCTTGCAGTCTTAGAGCAATCGCCACTGGTGACCGTCCAGACCAAAGAATGATAACAGAGAGACTCACAGTTACATGAATAGATTCAAATCCTGTCATGCAAAGGGACACAAGAAAAGCAGTTTTTTAATGGAAACGCTCTCTAAGCTATGGTGGCCTTCAAGGACAAAAGACTCCTTTAACCCTTACCCTAGTGGGGTCAAACTGACCTCAAGTCAGTGTGGACTGAGATTACCCATGACTCCTGATGTTTTCCTGCCGGGGTCAAATTCACCCTGTCAGTATGGATTGAGAATCATAAACCCTCACGCTTCCCTAGCAGGGTCAAAAATAACCCCATGGTGTAGATATAAACTTTAACTATTTTAAACCCCTGACTCATGATGTTCTGGGCTGAATAGCCTAGTCACCTATACATCAGCTCAATCCCCAACCCACCTGACAGAGAGTGTATCAAGTACCTAAAAGGGGAGCTCAAGATCACCTTAAGGGTCGGTCAAGGTCGCCAGTTGATGACTTTGTTATTTTATGGAGTCCTGGACAGAAAAGTTTGGGAACCTGTGTTCTTGTTAGAACTTTTCTCAGCTGCATGTCTACGTGGATTAGGAGAGAAGTTCATACATGAAGGTGCAATTTGAACTGAGGTAGTGAAAAAATACAACAGAAATTATTGACATTATGTGCAATAATACAATCGATTTTAAGAGGTAGGTTCATATAAAGTGAAACCCAGCGTTGTTTACATGCTATTTTGTGATGCACAAGACTTTAAAACCATACTGCACATGTTAAAGAAAAGTCATTCTGTATTTCTATTATCTCTAATAGGCTAACTCAGAGTAACTGGAAAAGTCTGTGGTGGCTGAAGCTGCTCGGGAAACTCAGAGGAATAATTTACTTTATCTATTTTTATCATCTTTCCTCTTAAAACTCAGCCCAGGATCGATGATCTGGAGTGTTCTGCGTAAGTGTGTCATCTCCAACACTTTGGTTTATTGAATTATCTTCTCCTCTGTGCATCAGTGAGCAATAAGGGATGAATCTGAAGCCTTCAGTGTACCTGCCTCCTCCCTGCGAACATTTACAGATGAGCAGCCTATTGGGGAGAATCCAAGCAGCACAAAATCACTTAAAAACTCATCCACAACTCGGCCCATAATCTCTGCAGTGAGTCTGACAATTAAAAATCGTTATCCATTTACCACTTCAGCAGCTCGCTGCACAAACAGGAACTGATGGCGAGAGGCATCTGAAAAACAAAGCGGTAATGAGGAGGTAATTCTGTTATTCACGAGTACATTGAGATGCATTGTTGATGTGATGTCACTGTGTGGTTTTACTCCTCCTCCTCCTGTTTCCCGGCAGCAGTGATTAAGTCAGGTTAATGAATGCCACAGTGACTGTTCACCTCCTTCTCCTGCACAGGAACAAAACAAGTGCTTACATGAGAGCTGCAGCTCTGCTGAGATTCACGAACACGGGTCTACCAAATGACTTTGAAGGAAGGTGTGAGGAATTTAAGGTGTGACTAAAATTTGGAATCTCTGACCAATCATGTTCCAGCAAACATCGGAGTCTTCAAGATAAACAGGAGTTTTTAATGCCTGAGATGTTGGGGTGTTGAAAACCAGCAGGGTGACATCAGAGACTATATAGAATGGACGCCATCTGCCTCCTCGCTGGGTGACGCCACAACGAGAACAGCACCCTCTGGTGACGGGCTGCAGTATAGGCCTCCTCCAGCAATCCCTATGGAGCTGTGGACAAACATTTTTAAAAGTTATTAGGGGGTTCATGTTTTCTATGATTGACACAGACACGATCACCGCTGATTGCCACTGATCGTTCCCATTCAAGTTAATGTGACAATTTCCACCAGCTTCTTCCAGCCCCCTGCAGTTCTGGGGCTTCGCAGCCGATCGCCTGGGTTCTGTGTTTTTCCGGACGCCGCAGCATGGCGCCTAATTTCAGCACAGATTAACCCGTTTTGGAAAGGAAACAAAATAAAACATCTGTTTCTTTTCAAAATAAAAGACCCCGTGTTTCAGGTGGATGATATTTCACACCATGCAAACGTGGGCGGGGACAAAAAGGTCACAGGTTTTCCAACACCATGGATGAGAAGATGCTGATTCTGGACGTCCAAAATCTTGAAATAATCTTTGACCCGTCTCATCCCTTATACAACTCGTTATCGGGCGATTGCATGTTAATTTGTGGGTTCGTGTGAGTCATCACGATTCCCACTGTCTGAAATTCGCCATCAAATTGGATTCACAAACGCATCCAGTAGGAATTGGCGGACAGCGATAGTTGCTGTTGAAATTCGACATGCACATGCCGAGATCTCAAAGAAATGGATGTACCCTCTGATCTTTGGAGTCAAAACCCACAAAAACAGTTAAAGTGACGCTCAGATAAAAGCAAACTAAGACACGTGCAGCAGAGTGAAGCTCGACAACAATCTCTAGACAATGACAGACACTGAACACTGATGTGGATGCTGAAGGTCAGATGTGCTGTTGGATCAAGTCAGCAGTTGTGCACATCAAGTGACTGAAGATGAAGAGTTCACATCGTCCTGTATCTAAGTGGAAGCTTAAAACGAAACAAGCCCCATGATTGGTCCACTGGACAGCATCAGGTTCGGTGGGAAAAGCCCTCGATTTCATGCCTCAGGTTCAGAGGTCATAGTCCTCTAAGCAGGGACCCTGGCTTCAAAAGAGCTGAAATCATGTTTTGAAAGACACGAGGACATTATGTCCCTCTTAGATTTATTGGGTTTGAAGTAAAAAGCTTGTGTAATGGAAACACTTCAGTTGAGTGCTCTTACATTCAGCATTTGAGTAAATATAAACAGGCAAACAGAGCTACTGGAGGCCATCTGTAAACCTGAAGGCGAGGACAGATTTAACCAACGTGTCAGTGAGTTTTTGTTTTCCGTCCTGGAGAATAGAAACAGCACCGGGTCGACTCTCTGCAGGTTGACCTCCAGCCTTGATGGAGCTCCAATGTGCTCAGGAGGAATGAGGATGTTGACCGAAGCTCGATAGATTCAAGTCATCCAGAAAATCCTGAAAAGTGGATGTTTCTATTTATAAATCGGCCGGGTTAATGTGTTTTTCAATGAGGTTCTGTTCTGTACCATCCCCCATTGTAACTCGGAGTGTGTGTGTGTTCATGTGTGTGTGTGTGTATTCCCTGTGCAGCTCCCACCTCCCTGACAGAGAGGAGAACCTTTTGTTCCACCTCTACAGTCCCCAATTACAGTAATCTCTTTCCTCGGCTAATCCTGCAGCGCACAACTTTGAAGTGGAGCGCTTCATTGAACATCAAAGTTGTCTCCTCATTCGTCTGCGCACGCCAGTCACAGAAACACTGAGGAAGATGTGCCGGCTGCAGGAGTCTTCACAATGCAAATATACTCTTTGTCCCACGACTTCAAATGTGCACTCAGCAGAGTGAAACCGGGGAAATCCTGCAAACACCGATACAAAGCTGCTGCTGCTGCTGCTGACTGAACAGCTTCCACAGGTTAGACAAAAGCAGGCGGGTTTCTCAAAAGCAGAGTTAGTCAGATAATTTGACATATTTGAAACTTTAAAGCAGCCTTGTATTTGTGTGTCTGTGAGGTTATTTTTATACTTTAAAGCACTGTGAGGAGGTTTTAGTCGATCATGACGGTGATATTTATATCGATGCTGTTTACTACAGCAATAGAAGCTGGCACAGTGATGGGAGCACCTCCATGGATCGGACTTCGAGTTCATCCCACAGATGCTCGATCGGATTGAGACCAGGGGGAGTCCAAGTCCAAGTCCTGAACTCTTTTCCTCCAGACCACCTCCTTTAATTGCTCAGAGGTCCAGTTCTGATAGATGTGCCCATCGTTTCAGGGATATCAGCTGTGGTGTCGTAGATTTAACAGAGGTAAAAAAAAGAACAACAGAAAAAAAGAATCCAATTAAAAACCACTGAGAAAAGACAGAAAGGATCACAGCAGCAGGTAAAACTTAAGGAGAGATGCAAACAAGGACTCAAAGAACCGTCCTGAGGACTTGACCACAGGTAAACTGCGGTAAACTACAAGTAAACTACAGGTAAACTTCTGGTAAACTAGGGGAAAACGACTGATAAACTATGGGAAATTACAGTAAACTATGGTAAACAACAGGTAAACTACAGTAAACAACAGGTAAACTATGGTTAACTACAGGTAAACTATGGTAAACAAAAGATGAATTACGGTAAACTACAGGAAAACTACGGGAAACTATGGTAAACAATGGTAAACTGTGGTTGACTACAGTAAACACAGTAAACAAAAGATGAATTACGGTAAACTACAGGTGAACTATGGTAAACTACAGGAAAACTACGGGAAACTATGGTAAACTATGGTAAACAACAAATAAATTACAGGTAAACTATGATAAATTATGGTAAACTATGGTAAACTACAGGTAAACTACAGTAAACAACAGGTAAACTATGATAAACAAAAGATGAATTATGGTAAACTACAGGTAAACAACAGGTAAACCAAGGTAAACAACAGGTGAATTATGGCAAACAATGGTGAACTATGGAAAACAACAGGTAAACTACAGTAAACAACAGGAAAACTACAGGTAAAAAAAGATGGCAGCTAGAAAGAGGACGCCGAAAGATAGAGGAACAGAGTCAGACAACACCTGTAATTCTTAGAGCAGGTAATCACCAATCAATAATAATTTTAATGCGTTTGCTATTTCCTGACATTTCTCATCTTTTCAGTTTGTCGACTCTCAGCGACACTTCCCACAGTCAGCAGTGTTGTAGTCAGATCTTGACAAACTTTCTTGCTCTTTTAGCTTCATCTCGCAGCATCTTCTGGACTTTCTGTCAGGAGGTCATGACGCCTTACAGACGTGACCACGAATGTCGTTCGCTTGGTCTTTTACAAGAAACAAAATGATAAACTTTTAGGGTCGACAGGTCCCGACACTCCATGATCAGACATAATCATGCTTAAATCAACGGGTCTGACTTTAGCATGCCATGAGAAATCATAACGACATGAAAAACCAGACAGTAACATATGACAGGAGGGGTCAGCACGGGCAGCTTGACCGGTCTGCAGCCCTTACACAGCAAACGGTGATCCTCTGTTTCTATCAAAACAAGCACAGGCTTTTCATCATCAGTTTGAGCTGCAGGAGCTCTGTCATTAGATCAATCCACCTCTGTCAATAACAAGCTTTTATTTATTTCTAACAGGGTTTGTGCCCCGTTTCTGAGAGTTATGCAAGTCTTGACTGAAGTGAAAACAGATTCCTAAAACCAATCATGGCAGACGGGACTCAGAGGAGGGAACTTTCCTTTAATGACAGGAAATGAGCGCGTGTTCAGACTCCCTCGCCTCCTCCACACGTCACAGGATGTAACGCTCAGGACGAAGTGGAGTGTGAAATTACTCCTCACTTAAAAAACATCCTCCTCCATTGATCGTCCTATTGAGTTGGTGTTAAATCAGAGGACGTGAAAATGGTTTTCTTCTGCACAGACTGCACCGTCAGAGCTGACTGATTGTTCCACCTGTTTGTTAATTTAATACAGACCTTAATGTGTAATCGATTAATTCAGAATAACCCACGAATGAAAAAGCAGTTTTTCTCTTCAAACACTGACAATTTGTCGGCAGATTTTCTCCACTTGAAAGTGAGAAATATGAGGGAAATTCATCAAATGGGAACTTGTTTTAAAATATCATCAGTTTGTGAATTTGTCATTTCCAGTTAGATTTGGTTTTTCAAAGGTGGTTTGGATCTCATGATCCAGCGTGATACAGTAAGATACATTACGGTCTGATATGTGTCATGATACACACACCATATAATATGCATTGTGATACAGAGCACTCGGTACTGAGTCTTTTAATGATGGTTGGCAGCACCAACAAACTGAGTCAGGTGGGTTTATCTATAAATGGTTAAATCTTGGCATTTCTTTCTTTGATTTATCACTGTAAACATGAATTTGATAAATGATCACCAACGTCCTTTTCCTTCCACTTATCCATTTTCATGATACTTGACTTCACTGAAGGAATCAGAATCAGAATTCTTTATTGTCATTGTACCAAAAGGCGCAACGAAATTGAAAAAATAGCAGCTCTCGCAGACAGTGCAAAGGTATCAGTAAAAAAAATTACAATAATATAGCACAAAATAACACAATAGAAAAATATAAAAATATAATTTAAGTAAAATATAACATGAAAAAAAATTGTGAAAATGAATAAAAACAACCAGGATATTGCACTCAAGACATTTCAGGAGTATTGCACATGATATGAAACAGAAATTCCCTAGGAGCGCACCATGACATCAGACTGTATCGATGCTGGGATGTGTTGAAGGATTCAGCTCTGAAAACTATCTCCAGGGACCATCAGAGCTAAAGGAGCCAGTTCTTGCTGAGCTAGATGATGTGGATGACCAGTATGAACCTGAATTGTTTACCTGAGGGTCCAAACCCTGGTCTTAGACCATAAGATGATCGCAGATAACTAGAGCTAGACCACAGCTTACGGTCTTCGTAGGTTTGCAGTAATCCACGGGTCTTTACAGATATTATGTGCTTGAGGTCGAAAGCATTTCTTCAATATCAACCTTTGTGGTGCTGGTTCTCTTAGGTCATACGAGTGAAAATGGTGGGCAGACAGATAATGGTCTCAATCCTGGGCGGTCAGGTTCAGTATTTTCATCATGCTCGCTGCCATTCCTGGACTTCATAACTCCTCCTTAGAAACCAATGCATAACATCACTTTGACTCTGATTTTGCTTTCTTAAAGACACTGCACAAGTTGGATCGCTGACCTGATGATGGACACGACAGAAGATTTTGACAGGATAAAACCAGACGGATGGTGGTGTTAAGAAAAAGCCAAACAGCCACCAAATTCAACAGGTTTGAAATTTCTCATCAATCCAAAGAGGAGTTTTTTTTTTTTAAACAAATCAGATTGACCCAAAGTGGTTTACGAATTAATAAAACAAACTATTATATTTTCTTCCCAGTGACTATACTTAAAGCCACACAGAGCTGCCAGAGTTTGTCCAGACTGTGACTTTCTCTTCACAGCTCCGATGAGAATCGATCATTAAACGGAAGAAAAGGTCACCCAGAGCAGCTCGGTGGAATTCTCCGGAATAATGTCGCACTTTCTGCCTCACAGGCTGTGAGCAAGAACAGAAAAAGGTCATTGACAGCCTGAGGACCCAACACTCATAGTTCAAGATATTCAAGGTTACAAATGAACTGGAACAAAGAGGGGGAGTGCCGCTAATGATTACTTTGACGAAGGTTTGTGAGCTGAGGTAATTAGTGGAACTTATGATTAACTGCAGGGTTCACCCACGCTCTGACCTTTGTGTTATATACACAGTACACCTCTAAACCAGATATACTGTAGACCTGCAGGGGTCGAAACACAGGAATCAGATCTACTGGGGTTGGATTGGACAAAGAACAAGAACAACAAGAACAAGAAGGTGGACATGATAGTGTTTGTAGACAGGAGGGATGTAAGAGTATGAAAATTCTACCTCACAGTTATTGTGACTGAAATAATCATGGTTTACAGTATTTCCGCGGCGTTTTTGATGCTTTTATCTAGTGCTAAACAATGCCTTTTTTTTTTTTTTTTAGATCTAGACGGGAATACTGTCTTCAACTGAGCGTGCCCTCGACATTCCTATGAATCCCAAAATATGCCCATATTTCCAACCAGTGTTCGACTTTTCAGACCCCCCCTAGCAACTTATTTTCAAAAAAGCGCCTGGCGACAAATTTTGTGACTTTTTCTGGAGTTTAAAGACTCCAACATAAACACAGGAATAGATGTTACTCATCTCAACAGGTAGCCGATGTGCATCAAAACACAGACACAGAGACTTAGACACCCGGCGGGAGACTCCTCCTCCTCCCCTGGGGGGTGGGGATTATGCAAATTAGGCAATGTCGTCATCTAGCGACTTCTTGTGACTATTACGACAGCCACTAGCGACTTTCTTTGCTGAGGAGTTGGCAACACTAATTCCGACTTGGTCCTGTAGAGGGTTGATAAATGTCTTCGACGCTGTTTTCTTCTCCTTCAACCATGATTCCATTTCAAAAATATGTAGTCGGGTGTTTAGAATACAGTTGCAATAACATAAATGTTAATTCTAGTCATTATCGCTCTAAGAGCTGCTGCTCCTCATTTAGGTGATACTGTCTCTTTAAGAGCCAAGCAGGGCTAGATCTGCGAGAGTACGGAGTTCTCACGAGACTTTAGACGCGCGCAGGAGACGTTAACAGAGCAGCCGCGAAATTCTGGATCTCTGAGGTGAGTGTTTTGTCAATGTAGAAGAGAAATAAAGCTTTAAATATGGATGTGATAAAAGAGATCCATCAGTGGATGAAGTTATGTAAACTTCTGCACAATGAGGTTGATGAGAGATGATTCTGTATTTATGGTGATTGTTGTAGTTTGAGGAAGTGTGAGTGTGTTGGTGGAAAAGACTGAATATCAGGGCAGGTGAAGGTTCATTTCTAACCTTTTCAGGTAAAAGTCAAAGAAAACTCAGTTATAAACAAATTCTGTAACATTATGTGCATTTTTTGTACTTTTTAGAGAGGAGATATGTCCTGTTGAGATCCAGAGGTGTGTGTCTTTGAGTGCAGGATACAGTTTCTTTCCAATTGAGCTGAATTGGATCATAATCTTCCGATCAACATGTTTACGTGATGCATTTTTATTCAGATCAGGCCTTTATTCCGATTATTTGTGTCCATGTAAACACAGCTAGTGTCTTGCTGAAATATGAAGGTCTTCATCGTCTGGTTGGCAGCAGATGTTTCTCCTAAACCTAAAGATAATATTCAGCATTAATGGAGCCTTCACAGACGACATGGACACTTCTGCATCCTCATACCATCAGAAATGCAGGTTTTCTTTAAACTGTGTTATCAAGCCTGGTGGTCCATGATTTCCTTGTAACTTCAGTCCAGAGAAGTCGCCGTCATCGCTGCATCAGGTTTATAAATTATTCCCTCTTTGCATGAAACAGCAGAAACTGTTTTCACAGACTGTGTTTTTTAGACATGATTCAAGCCTGTGCGGTGATTTCCACTTCAGAGTTATATTTGTCTTCAGTGCAGTCTCACCTGACAGGCCGTGCAGTGTTTGGTTTTGCCTTGTCCCTGGCCCCTGATGTGGGACGTAGATATAAAACTGAATCTAAAGAAATCTACTTTATTATGCTTCATACCCAAGAGTGATAATGTGAACTTTTCAATCCATTCGTACTCAAACTTGTGCATGACCAAAGGGTAAATATTCAAATGTTATGTTTTTTATTTTTTCACTGATTATGTGTAAGAGTTATGAAAGCACAACTTTAAGCCTGCCTGACATCCTCCAAAATAAATGCTGCCAAAAAGGTTTTGGGTTGAATAATTCAGTCTTTCTCTTCCAAGAAAATGTTTCACCTTTTGAACCTGAGAGCTCTTCAGGCTGAAAGGGTCCGCTGCCTGAAAAGAGGCTTTTTTTAAATGAAAATTAAATGACTGCAGCGGTTTTTCTGTGGCCGTCACACAGTCCAATTAACCACCTAAAAGCCTCGCAGAGAAAAGTGCTCTGTCTGAATAATTGATCAGAATCCTTGAGTTTGCAAGTTTCTGTGTCCGTGACCGCCAGTTCGGCAACACGTGGAGGAGTCTGGTTTATCCTGTGGGTACTCAAGTTAATGCACCGGGTGATTAAAATGTTATAAGTTCCAAATTAGGACAGAGAGTATGGAGAGAGATGACCACTGAGTGCTGGGAAGATGCAAGATGGAGTGTATGAAAGGAGGGGTCTTTGGATCAAGAAATGCACCATCATTTGGGATCCAGCTCCCTTTATTAAAACTGGAAGTGTCTTAAAATCAGATGTTTCCAGATTATTTCAACTTTTTAAAAACCTCGTCATGAGGATTTTGATTCATTTGGATAGTATAGGAGTCCGACTGAGACCCTCAACTTTCTATATCAGGTATTTCCAAACTCCAGAAACTGGTCTGATTGGTTCCCAGTCCTAAATTTCTTTTTAACGTGTTTCAGTTTGAAGATTTTCCCTCATGATCTCGACTATTAACGGTCCTTACACACCGGCGAATTTGCGGAGCGAGGCGAAAAAGCGAGACGAAAATTGCGAATGTTCGCCGGTCCGAAAAATCGCTTTCGCCTATACACACCGGCCGCGAAGCGAATATGCGTATATTTTTTGCAAAGCGAATTAATAAAGTCACTTTGCGGCACGGAGGAGAGGAGATGCGGGGTAGTCCTGTACCGCAATTACCAGCCTCTCTCCCATCGTCGCTCTTGGTGCCAGTGGTGGTGTGTGTCGTGTGAACGGCTGCTGATTGACATGTCTAGCATTATGAGTGAGGGAGAAAGAGGAGGAAAAGCTGAGAGAGACACCGCAGCAGCCAGGAGAGGCGAGTGCTGAGCAGTGATCCTTCAAGTTGTCTGGTCATTCTGTTGGCCCTTTAGCTGCAGATCATCGGTATGTCAAACAGCTGAGAGGGAGAATCAGGCATGATGAGGCGGTCACCCTGTGAAGTGTGCATGACATCTGTCTCCTAAGGAAGACAAGAGAGTGTCATCTTGTGAGGAAACTACTTCATTAGTAATTAGAAAGAGTTTTGGATGCACCTCAGCTGTCTTTCTCTGCGTTTTCATAATCTCAAACTTCTCCCTCTCCTCCAGCCGTATGGGTCTGTGACGTCATCAACAACATGACTATTGATTGGCCAGAGGTCTAGCAGGTCCAGATATTCGCCTGCGAATATCCGAAAAATTCGACACAGGAGCGAAAAAATAAAAGCGGCTTTTCGCCCCGCGGAAAAATCGCCGCCGGTGTGGAAGCTCGCATTGACTTTATGCTGTTTTAAAAAAAGGCGAATAATTCGCCTGGCGAATTCTCGCCCGGTGTGTAAGGACCTTTAGCAGTTCTGGTTGAATCCTGTTTTGTGCTGACTCACTCTCTAAAATCCTCAACCAAATCTACCCCCATCTCCAAAAAAACTAGACCTGATCCTTTCGTATTAAACATTTCTGTGTAATGAGAGTCTCGTACTCAAACTCATTTACTCGCCTTAATTGCTACAACAAAAGATAATCTGACCGCTGCTGTGATAATTTTGCCGAGTTGTGAGATGATTACAATCACGCGGCGTTGTTTTCATCCAAGGCTTAAATAAAAACAAAACTTTTAATGAAAGCTTTTTTTTTAATGCATAATTATAGTCCAGCAGCTTGAGGAAATATCAGAAACATCATTACCTGCAGGGCTCAGAGGCGTATTTGTCTGGAGTTACCGCTGATATATGGAGAACGGTTTGTTCCCACAGGGTCGTGTTTAAAAGTCGGGCCGAGTATCAAAGTCAGGGAAGTACTCGTGCCTTTTGTTGTTCATCTTCAAACGCTGACTATAATCCACAAAAGGAAACAGTCGAGTTCATTAATTCCTGTTTCTTCCAGGCTGCACTCTCCATTCACCTCTCTGATCGGGGGTAAGAGGAGGTAAGAGGCGTTTATGAGATTAGGAAGGAAGGAGGGAAGGAAGGAAGGAAGTGACTGAGGATTAAACCGCTTTGAAGGAGTTCTGACTCAGGGAAAAATAACAGCGTCTGTACTCTAATAACTGCTGCGTCATACTCAAACATTCATCTGTCCATCCAGACAGCTTTACAAATGATAGGGGGGGGTTCATAACGGCGTCCCTGATGGTTTCAGACAGGACTCTGTTAGAACCAATCAGACGCGGTGGTACCGACCAGGGGTATCCAGGCAGATTCTAGACTGTACTAGGGCCCCACGTTTTTACCACAATAGCCAGGATCTCACCTTTGTTCTAAGATTTGATATCTGAGACTTATGCTGCGTTCGAGTTACCTCGGAAAACAGATGTCGAAGCTGAAAATGACGTCACACCCGAGTTCCTGGCAAAAAGCAAAATCAGAGGCCTGGAACGAGATGGCTACATCTACGAAAGTTATTTTAGCACTTGTCTTATAACCCTAACCCGGAGCTGAACAGACGTCATTTTTAGCTCCGACATCTGACTTCCGAGGTAACTCGAACGCAGCATGACTTCAGTATGTTATACGCTCCAAAGTTGATAGTCTTTCATGCAGAAACTCTAAATTTAGATCTAAAACTCAAAGCATTAATAGTGTCAGAGTTCGGCTAGTTAAGACACAACAACCGGCTCTGTGTCCAGGGGAGTTTGGGGGAGGGCCACACTGAACTGCAAAGAAAGCAGCATTAAATCACGGCGAGTTGCCAAAATAGTCGACTGTAACAGAAGTCCAATTGGTGACATGACCCGATTACACTCCATCAGGACTCCTCCACAAAGACCATAAATAGACAGCAAACTTCCCCTCACTTCATTTGCATGAATTTCAATGCAGAAAAATACGTCTGCATTGTTTCATTCACGCTGATGTTTCTGATCTTTGCAGAGAAATCAGTCTCTACACTTTCCTCTGTTATCCTTTTACCAAACCTGAAGATCTGAGAAATGAGCGCTCGCTGTGTTTCATCCATTGAGCTGCTTTTAACCTCTGATGTGCTTTCTCTTCTCTCTCTGTGGTTTTCAGACTCGACTCCCTCAAACAGCCGAGCTGAAGTATAAAAGCACTCGGCTTCATCAGGCGTCAGAGTAGATTTCAGTCGGTTAAAAACCGTAATCATCAAGAGACAACGGCGCGGTTCAGATCAGAGCTGCTCGTGATCTGTTCATCCATGTCTGAGGTCGGCCTCCAGGCCTCAGAGGAGGCAGAAACAAGCTGAGAGGAGCCGATGAAGGGAGAAAGAGGAGGATTTGGCACGGAGGAAGAACAGGTGGGCCCTCCACACACACACGCTTCATACCACAGACTGCTCAGTAAACTGCAGCAAAAGGCCGGGGTCAGGGTTCGAAAATTCAAACTGTCAGAAGAGCTGCGTTTCAAACCGAAAGACATCAAAAGGAAAAATGAAAAAGAGCAGTTTCTCTGTGTCTACAGTACTCCACATGTTCAGCATCCTGATGGAAAAGTCGAGGTTTCACTTTTATGTACGATGTGAGCCGACTGACAGGGAGGGCTCGCCAACACCGGGCTTTATATTCAAACTCCTCCGCTTCAATAATCCTCAGAAAAAAAAAAACAGGAGAAGAGCCGAGAGTAAGAAAAAAAAAAAACACTTAAGATTCAAAGAAAAAAGTCGTAATGTTACCAGATTCAAGTCTAATTCTTACGGCAAAGTAAGTCTTAGTAAAGTTATTAAAGTCGGGAGAAAATCAAGTCTTACAGTCATGGGAAAAGTCTTTAAATTCAAGTTTTTACGTCACGAACTCAAAGTTATATTGTTATGAAAATAAAGTTCTTATAAAGTTGTCATGATACCATATTGAAGTTAAAATACAGTTCATGTAACGGGAACAAAATCGAAGTTAAAGTCAAAATATTATGAGAATAAAGTCATAAAAACTTGAGAAAATCAAATTATGTTACAAGAATAACTTTAATTATAAGTATTAAGAGAGTTGAAGTATTATGGAGATTAAAGGTCCATGTTCTTGGCGGCCAACAGATTTTTGTTTTCAAATGAAAAAATGAAAATCGGGAGACAAGTTGTGACTCAGAGCTTCTCGCTCCGGGTCACAACAAAACAGTGATTAAAATTTAAAACACAAGATTTCCGTGCATATATTTTGATCTTTGATATCTGTTTAAAAAAACATCACAGAAAGTTAAATACTGAGTTGTTTCTTCGTTCTCTGATTTTTATGATCAAAACAGAAAGCGGTTTGTTTTCCTGTTTTTTTGTTTTATGATTCTGTACTGGTCGTTGGGCTGGTCTCCTGATTTTCGTTTTCTCATTTGAAAATGAAAATTAGTTGGCTGCCAAGTATACGGACCATTGAATCACGGTAAAGTCAAATTGTTTTTAGAATTAAATCAAAGTAAAGTCAAAATATTAGTCATAATAGAACAAGAATAAAGTCGTTATGTAACGAGATCCAAGTTGTAAGAAAATCAAGTTAAAATGTTATGAGAATAAAGACAAAACATTTCAGTGATGAAGTTGTTGCTTTGCGAGATTAAAGTTACATCTTTAATAAAGTTGTTAAATCACAAGAATAAAGTCTCTACGTTATGAAAATAAACTTCTAAACCAAAGTTTGAATCCAGCCTCAGTGGAAACCTGGGCCTCCCTGTTTCAGCTGCTCCTGTGTTACAATAAAGTCTTGCATGAATGTAATACACAAATATATCTGCTGCACACTCACACACATCAGTGAGGGCAGACTTCACAATAAGAGCAGAAACTGCATAACTCAGAAATAGAAGCTCTGCTGCAGCAAAAAGCACCAAATCCTCTCTGAACATTTGGAACCTTAAAAAACTGTCCAAGACGGACTGAGAGGGACGACTTCAGAGAAGTCCGAGCCAGCTCATCCCCGCAGGACTCTGAGTGTGTGTGAGTGAGTGTGTGTGAGTGTGTGTGTGTGTGTGAGTGTGTGAGTGGTTAATTCCCTTTTATTCCCCGGCTCAGATAAGACCCTCTCCTCAGTGAGCTGAATAAATTGCATTTCTCCACTCAGCGAGAGGACGGCCCGGTTGTGAATGAAGCGGCGAGCCTCGATAACGCGGCTTCCTGTCCTGATTATTGTTTCCTTCCTCGGGCAGGAGGGTGAGGTTGAAAGGTTCCAGGAGAAGATTTCATTTTCTCCACAGATATACATGAAAAAATAATGAGACGTCTTTGTGCGTTGAGCTTTTCATTAATAAAACAGCAGCCCTCGATCAGCATGTGAGCTGCAGGGAACAAGATAGGATCTTGAAGTTTTTATTGGAGCGGCTCTGGATTCTCACCGGGCCTGCAGTCTGGGTTAAACATGGAAGTGTTTGATCTGTTAGATTTGAACCCTGATTATTGGAGCAGCTTTTCAACATCAGTTCAGTCTGCTCAGTGTTACCTGACGGGGTTCATTTCGGAGTGATTACACTCTTTGTTTTCTCAGGAGGCTCTTTGTTTGAACTCTGAATGAGGAACCGCTAAACTCCCCTCCAGTCGCTCCATTTGTTCTTTTTTTTCTGAGCTCGCACAGTTTGTCCCAGAGCTGGAAGCAACATCACTTTTGATTGTGATTAATTCGATTGAAAAATGCTCCAGATGTCTTTTGGGGTCAGATAATGAATCTCTGTTGATTCAGTAAAGATCCTCTCTGACTAGGATGTTAAAAAAAATCTTAAAGAGGCCCTGAGACTTAAACCTCGTGCACAAGCGAGCCTGAAGTTTATCCACTGCATCTTTATTTTTGTAATATCCCTTTAATGTCCACCATTGAGACAACTCCTTTAACCAGTCTGCCCTTTGCGGCACAGGCATACCCCATTTATTTCCAACAGCTCTTCTGTTGTCATGCTGATAAATCCAGAGGTAAATAAAAATAAATAAAAAAATTCTATAATAAAATTACAAAAAAGGCAGCCCCCCCCCCCAAAAAAAAACCAAAAAAAACAAACAAACAAAAGTAAAGGTAATATACTGTAATTCAAAGGACATTCGAAATCAGACCTCTATGCTGGTGCATCCAGGTGCACTTACAGGTGCACTGTAAGAAAAAAATAATAATAATAAAAAAAAAAATTTAACACCTTGAATGAACTGTCAGTATTAATTCTTCCTTAGAAAAATACTTTTTGTTTATTACTAAAATTACACATGCATAACGTACCCTTCCCATGAAACAGCCAATACTTTTAAATTTAAAATATTATAATTTGATTTTACAGCATAAAAAACAAACAAAGTAAAATCATTTAACAGGATTTTTCCTGAGGCGTTTTCTCAGATGTTAAAAATACACTTTGAAAATTTCAGTCATCCTCATCAGAGGGAGTAACATCTACTGCTCGTCTCTCGGACCTTCCCCGTCTCCTTGTGATGTCCTTTTCACACCAATCACCTTCTCCATCATCACAAACTCGTACATCCTCTCAGAGTGAAGGACTCCTCCTCCGGTGCTCCTCTCGTCTCCTCATTGATGCCCTCCCTCGACTCCTCCTGTCCATCTCTGACACTCAAACGAAACACTAACTCTCATTTTTATTCCTCTCCCGATGTTGTTGATACTTCGTCCTCCTCTCCACGGTCCTGCAGACCTCCAGAGGCTGCCTGTTAACTCGCTCTGAGTGTCTCCCCCAGCTGTTGCGGGGGTCCGCACACACACTGAGGGCTCTTCATTGTCGGCTAAAGAGGCCCAGAGGTTACACAAATGATGGCAGGAAGAGCTGCAGGCGAGGACACCCGAGGGCTGAGCTTAGCTGGAGGAAGGACGCCCGCAGGATCGGTGACTGATTCATGATTCAGTATGGAACAACACGTGTCAACGCAGAGCAGAATCTCACCGCCAGATTATGGAAGAAGTTCATTTAAAATAACAGCCAGTGGCCTTTTTTCCATGATGGAGACAGATGATGAGCAACATCAGTGATCATCGGCATATACGCTCATAATACTCAAACCGGCTCTTGTAAAACAACATTTGAGAAATTCAACTAGACCGCTGCAGCATGAACCGAGCTTCCTGTACTTCACTGTGAAAAACATCAGTCTGCAAAGGATGGAAGTGAAAGCAGTGACCTTGCATGATGAAGAGCAATAACAGATCATTTACAGAAAAACAACAAATACTTCAAAATGTCACCGAAACCTTTTACTTCAAAAAAACAAAAACAAAATAATACAGAACAAGGATTAAAGGAGTTACAGTGAATTCAGAGCGTCCTCCTTCTCTCTGCACAGGGTTTTAATATTGTATTTAGTGGCATGTAGTGAGGCGGCAAACAGGTACGCTGGGTGTCGAGTTTAACAGCAGACTCCTGTCTCTCTTGTGCCGCTGTCACACCATCTCACACATCAGGAAAACAGACTAAAGCCTGAATTATCCAAACGGCTCCTCTCTAGGTTGGTGCAGCAGCGCAGCACTGATCCACACAGACAAGGAGTGCATGCAGTAAAACACACCGCTGCACGTTAAATCCGAGCAGCGTAAGAAGAGCCTTCACAGTCGTGTTAATGGTTAATTCATCGTGGATCTTCTGCTTCGACATGCAAAATGTTTCATGGAAGAAAACAAAGAGCAGGACGGTGAAGAGCACTCTGAGGTTTGAACAAGTCATTCCCCGAAGGACTCTCTGTCCGAATCAATCCTCGTGTTTCGCTCTGTCGTCAGGCTTTTACTGACTGCTCAGCAAAAGAGCAGCTGAGGCAAAAGTTAAAGGGGACTTCTCTGACCGCCAGATACGCAATCAGGACAAATAACAGCAACATGATGAGACGGAGACAAGACAGAGCAGAGAGGAAGCTTCTTCGAATGTGATCTGCAGATTGTTTTGGTACGAGACAAAGTCGGTAGGCCGGGGGACGACCGAGAAGTAAACAGAAGAAAAGGTGCATGTCTCTGACTACCGCAGCAAATATTTAAAAACAGAGGAAATGCAAAAGTGCAAAGTGTTGTAGATCTGTGATAGTCCATTTGGATGTCAACAAGAACCTGTCGGCTCAGGTCACATCAGATCGCACTGAAGTACTGCAGAGTGGTGAACTGGCATTAAATGTTTCTGCTGGGAGGAATCAGAGTGTCGCTCTCGTCTTTTCACACAAACTCAAACTGTTATTCAACCCCGGCTCTTTCTCCCCTCTCCCTCACCTTTGCTCTGAGGGGTTTTTGATTCTTTCATTTTAAAGCTGCAGAAACTGTCGGACAAAGCTCCCCCATTTCTGGCGTCAGAGAGGTGTGTAGGGAGGTGGGGGGGGGCAGTACGAGGCTGTTTGACCGTCCGACAAGCACTTCTGAAGACGCGCTCTGGCAGATAAATCCCCCTCCAGGTTCTCTGAGCTCTCTCCAAGAACTCCCGGTGTTTCTTGTGTCTAAATGTGGCGGATCATACAAATGAGACAGAGTCCATTTTCTACTCCAGGACCGCGGAGGTGTTTGTTGTACGGTTAAAAAAAAAGAGGGATGAAGTTGAGCTTAGAATTCTAAAAGGACCTGAACACTGAAGAGATCAGCACCTTAACACGACTGACCGGATACAACTCAGCGCTGTCTGGGAACTAAACCAGCGCTTTATACCCCACAGTACAATTAAAACCGTAGATCGCTTTGGCCTTGGGTTCGTCGTCCAAGGTAAACGTGACGATTTCACAATAATTATAAAAAACACATTTTTGCACCGTTTTTTCTGCTGTCTGAGTCAGGATGTGATTGAAATGATGATTTCTCTCTGCAAACGCACCTGTTTAGTTCTGCAGCTCTGTGCAGTTTGCTCGTGTTGAGTCTGGTGGTAGACAGAGCTGTTAGCGTCTCTGTTGCACAGAGCTGCACTGTGCACTCTCATCCTGACAGAGCCACAGATGGATAAGGGATTGGATGGGAAAAATTCATGTCTTACTTGCATCCCATGCAGCTGATATTGCAGATTTCACAGTGTGTTACATATTTCCATCCCTGGAGTAATTCAGCAAGAAAAAAAAAACACTGATCATGACTTATTTACTGATTACAGATTAACCTGGACTCTCTTCCCACAACTATGCGTGTCAGATTTGAACATTAATAAGCCACAGACTAATGGGACGCTCACACCAAGCGTGAGTAAAACCATCTACTCGCTTAAGTCGTGCTAATCTAGGCTAAGGTGACCAGACGTCCCCAATTTCCGGAATTGGATGACCTGTCCCCGGCAAAAGCTGTCCCTGAAAATGTCCCCGATTTAAGCGTTTCATGAATGAGGACAAAAATGTTGTGTGAAGGCTCGAACAACGGTTATTGCAGCAGCTGAATGGGGAGGAAGCACAAGTAAGCAGTCCTGAACAACAGTTTTTACGGGGTACGGGGGGTTCTTATCGCACAACTATTATGAACGTTACACCAGTCATCATTAATTAATCTTGGAGTCGCTGTTATGAACACCTGTCTAAATGTTTGGCGATGACGTGATGGTTCATCAGAGCCACTTTAAAGCCTCATTCCTCCGTGTTTAACAGCCAGAGAGTCCTCTCAAGGTTTCCAGAGAAACATCTGTCTCTATGGTGATCTGAGCTGGTTAAGTCTGACCACCTCTGTCTCCATTATTCCTTCCCCCGAGACCCACTTTAGTCTTTATGTTGAGGTTAAAGTCACTGTGTTTACCTCGAATCCAGCAGCCAATAAAAACTTACTGATGGACAATGGGTTTTCTGGAAAGCACCCAGGCAGTAGTTAGAGTAAAAGGAGGAGGGCAGAAAGGTTGGGTTTAAAAGGGGAACAGAGTGCTTGTTGTTGGTTTATGTAAAGGTACAGGCCTCTGCTGGACTCGGTTTAGTGAACCAGAGGGCGGACAGAAGGACGAGGTCGACCGGTGCAGCCTTCTGCATGAGCGCTCCGCTTCACGGCACATTTGGAAACTCTCTCAGGTGGATAGTTCAACTCTGTGTGTGTTTGTGAGTCTGTGTGTGTGTTTGTGAAGTCTGAAAGAAAACATGTTTTTCCAAAAGTAGACCAAATTCATTCACTTTCTCGCCCAAAGTACTCGTCCCTTTAATAATTCAGTGCCAAATGGGATCCTGGGAAGATGAGGCAGCACATAAGTTGGACAGAGGGTCCCATCGTCCCCGACAACACTGAGAGCACTGTCTTAAAAAAGCTCTGTTTACTGTGCAGGAAGAAGGAACATAACACAGAATAAAAGAGGAACTCACCAAAAACAAAGAGTGAAGGAAAATTTTAACAAAATTCTCCTTTATCATCCCGTTAAATGGACCTGCTGCGGCCATTTTTCTTTAAGTAGACTCAAGTCTATCAGGTTGTTTTTGTGTCATCACCTCATCACGGTAAATTACATCGACTGGATATTCCCATTTGGATAGTCTAACCTCCAAAATACAACGATGGCAGTTGAAGGAAGCGAATAAGAAATGGGAAAAACTTTGCCGGGAAATTTTGGAGGATGAAATCATGACAAAAGAAAAACAGAAAGAGGAACAGAGACAGTGATCAAACTTTAAAGATCTCCAGACACGAGGGATTGTACTTGGTTCGACTTGTTTGATTCTTGGAAAGACAACCAGACTCAAACCATCAAAATTCTGCTCTGGTTTTAGACCACACACCAACTAAGAAAAAATACGATATGCATATCTCAGTATTACGGCTGTTTTGATGCTTCTCCAGCGGTTCGGTTTGGACAAGAAGCAGGTAAACAACCCTTAAAAAACGAGTTGAATCTCTCACGTTGTAGTCAGTCCAGCTGGTACCATGGCTCTGCTCCACCATGTCTGTATAGGAAGCCTGAGGCAAGCAAAACAATCTTCAAGAGCCTTAGGAGAGCCTCAGGCGGGGAGAGCAGCAGCAAAGACCTTTCAGACCAGAGCATGAAAACATGAAAACAGCTGGTGGAGGAAACAGGAAGAGAGGAGGTCTGACTGCTGCCATGGCAACTTACTGACTTTTATAGAGCGCCGAAAAGTGGGTTGAAGTCGTCAAGAAGTTGATGAAAGCTAAAATCTGCATTGGCATGTTTTTTTTTAGCAGGTTTACCAGCAGATGGATATATACTTGGGTTAGTGCCATTTTTAGCTGAATCTACCGTGAATAGCTCTGTGTCAAAACTACATGTAACTCTATACTTTTCTTTGTAACCAAAATCTATAAACCTAGAAACACTGCTGCTTATGAACAAACCTGTTTCAAAAAAACCTGCATAAAGAGCTGCGGTGTTGAGTGGATTGGTTGCCCAACTGATTGTTGTCCGCGCTTGTAGATGCAGATAGCAGTTTGTAAAAACAGATAGATGCCAGATAACCAGTGTTATGAGGCATTCACACCAAGCACGAATAAATTCATTCGCACAAAGAATTACATGTTAAGGCAATGACATGTTGAGTTATTCACATGAATGACACAAGTTGAAAATATCTCATCTTTAGCAGATATCCGCATTGCCATAACCAATCAGCATGAAGATTCCCAGGTGAATCGGACCATAAGATGTTCACTGGTGTGAAAATATGAACACAAATCCTTTTACTGACAGTAGACAGATGGACAGGCGCTCTGCAGCTGGGAGAGAGCGCCTGGAATCGGTATCCTGGCACTGACCCTCACCAACACGTCATCAAATTGGGCTCTGGTAATCCGAAATACTGCCAGAAACGGTCTTCATCCAGGCGCAGCTATTGGAGGAGACCAAGACACGGTGGCTCTTACATCTCTGACGGTTCAGCAATCCCCTGAACATGGTTCACTCCTACCAAGCTTGATGGAGACTCCGCCCCTCTCTCATATCCACGGCTAGCAGTCTGGAGGAAGATGAGTTCGGAGGTGAGATTATCTGGTAAATTGTGAGAAGCCGTTGTCTATCACTTGATCCCGCAGGTTCAATAGGCAAGGATCACTGTTGAAATTAGCATAAACGGCTATCCACAGCTTTGACGCACTCTGTTGAAACGTGAATCATTTGCACGACTGAAGCAAGTAGATGATTTTACTCACACAAGAAGTCAGGATCCATGATGAACTGCTTTACGCCTGTTTTTGCTCTCCATACCAACACCAACAATTAACATCCCTGCATTTCTATGTAGACAAAGAATCACTAAAGGAAGATTTCAGCCTGAAAACAGTATTGAAATCTCAGCTGCAGGAGCCTGTATGTTATTACGTATTTACACGCTGCTTTAACATATATCTATGCCATCATATTTGTCTTGTATCCTCTATAATATGCATGTGAGATGACTTAGAGTGAGAGTCGGTCTGCTGCTGGAGCTACAGGACATAATTTAGGTCACCAGGCTTGACAAATAAATAGTTTAGTGATGACAGCGAGGAGGAAAAGCTTTAGCCAGCTCTCATTTACGGCTGACGTTGTCTTTGATTAAATCTGCTGCTGGCTTGAACAGACGGACGGTGAAGACTCCACCGGACTGAGACTGAGAGAGAGGAGGCCGAAACACACACAAACACTCACACACACACACACACACACTTCAGACTGATTTAATGTGGACTGTCAGATCACCGGAGCTTTACTGGCAGGAAGCTCTTACCTGTGCACCTGCAGAGGAAACACACAGACAGAGGACATCTATGAAAGCAGTGTGAACAGATCTGTACACCTGGATCTACTTTTCATACCAGGCAAAATCTCTTTTTAGCACTTAACATATGAAGTAGCTGAGAAACAGGGGACACTCATGAATCCTGTAGCTCCCAGGTGTTGAAATGTCAGAGGTGTTGGCGGTCTATTTGACCCTCTGCTCTTCTTCTTGGAGGATATTTTCCTATTTTCAAGACGCTTTTCAGCTGAATTCGAGGTCTAAAGGAGGACAAATGTTGTTAATGAGGGACAAGTCAGGACTGCAGGCAGGCTCGTTAAACACAGGACACCTCTAAACCTCTTTTTATGTTGTTCAGCATTAATGAAGCCTTCCTGGACACGTGTACCCACACCTCATGCAAGGTCGCAAAGGACTTTGATAAGTAAGGAGTCGTATTTTGTACTAAAGTGGGATTTTATTGGGAGCCGGTAGAGGTGGATGAGGGTTCTGGTGCTGGTGAGTTCTGGACATATTGGAGCCTGTCCAGGGATTTGCTGGGTACCTACCCCAGACAGGACTCCACTGCAGTAATCAAGGTGGGAGGTGATGAAGGCGTGAACGAAGGTTTCAGCATCAGAACCAGAGAGTGATGGCCGAAGTCTAGAGATATTTTATTAAGGCAGATTTATGATGGAGCTGATGTGAGAGGGTGGAGTCCATGATGACACCCCGGTTGTGGTTCATTGTTTATATGGACTCATCACTCCTTAAAAAATTAAAATATGCAGGAAAATAAAGAAATAACTGAAGACAATCTCCTGTATCTGTGATTACTCGACTCTCCTCATTCTTCATCTTTGTTTTCCCGCTCTTCATTTCTCCTCTCCTCAGTTTTTTTTTAATGGGTTACCTCCTGAAGACACTGTGCTGATGAGCTGCACGTCTGCACACCTGTAAATCAGGTGTAACTTCAGAGCAAAATCCAATTAGTGAGCGTGGACGAGGAGCTGATTCTTAAATGGATGTGGGTGTGAGCTGAAGTCGAATGAAGGTGACTGAATCAGGGTGAAGGAAGAGACTCAAAGACAATCATGTAATGAAGAACTTCATTCATATATCACAGGGATGTCGTCCAGTATTTATACTCTGTTATTATCTAAATGGGAACATACATGTCCCCTGTGTAAAATTACTGATTAAATTTCTTTAGATTCATAATTTGATTAATGTTTTTTGCCGAGGCAGTAAAGCATACTTACTTTTTAATTTGAGAAAAAGACGCTCAACCATCAGAGGAGATGGAAATACATCCCAGACTCACCGACGCTTTCATCCGTGGTGGTGCAGATGGCCCAGATTTAGACCGCCTTCAGATCTAGTGCTGTACCGGGTACAGGTCAGGGGTCTTGTTGTTAAATGTTAGACTCACACGGATATATCTGGCGCCATATAAAAGTCTGGTCTGGTTTATAAGTGTTGGACATGGACTGACTGGAGAAGGATATAAGAGGCTCTTAGGTGACCTGCAGGTAAAAGGTCTCATTCATTTATGTTTCGTTAAACACAGACCAGATAAAAGTCAGAGGTCTCTTTAAGAAAGGTTGCACATGGCTCTGAAAGTGGTGTGCGCCACTTCATTCACGGGCTTCTTCATTTCTCTATTTCTGTGATCCACCTTCAACCTCTAACGGCTTATTTGTTTGCATTTGGCTCAGTGTAGGGCTGCACGATTAATCGATTTTAAATCCCGATCCGATTGTTTGATTATGACGATGTTAAAAAATCTAATATGTCGATTTTCAAATTGATTTTCCTCTCTATCATGTCTCGTGCCTCCAGGCCACCGTAGGCTCCCCCTTCCCGCAGGAGGGCTCCCCAGTTCCCACACACACCAGTGTAAACAAACATGGCGTTTGCAAAAGAAGGCGATAATTTCGTGGCTAAATAGGACAAGAGCAAGTCAGTCGTGTGGATTTGGTTCAGCTTCACAGTTTTTTGCCGGTGTTTCATTCACACGAAATCGAATTCAGGAGAAAATGCAAAAGTTTTTTTGTTTAATCGGCGTTTCATCCACACAGAAACGACGTTTCAGGAGACTAAACAGTACTTTTTGAAAATGGGTCAGAGAGTGAATAAATCTGTAAACGACGACCATTTCATCTCCGATCATGTGACACACAGAGTAACTCTTTTATGGCGCCAAAACAACCTTTATACACATGCTCTGCACTCTTCTTCTGTCTTTTGTACATCTCCTGTGCAGCGTTACAGCGCCGCTTACTGGCTTGGCATATGCACTACATCGTTTTCAGTTGTTTTGTTTTGAGAGACGATAGAAAAAATTTTTATTAAAGTGAAGTTTGGTGAAGTTGACACTCAATAAAAAATTGAAATCAAAAATCGAGTTTTCATAGAAAAAAATCTGGGTTTTATTTTTGTCCAAAATCATGCAGCTCTAGTTCAGTGTGTACCTGAAATCTTCTTTGTTTTTGCAGATAGGCTCACGAGCAGTTTTGATGTTCCTTTGCAGATAGTTGTCAACAACTAAACTTCACTGAACTGAGATTTTCTTTTTTGCATTATTCGCCTGTTTCATGTTTCTTTAAATACTCTTCGGTACATTTTAATCAGGTCTGACTTTTTGATGAACCGCTGTATGTGGACTCGGTCACGGCCCTGTGCTAGAACTGAGTCCAGAATAGAAAAGATTCATCCTCTGTCCTGACTCACTGGAGTCCAAATGCTGCTGAGTTGAAGCTGACGGTATAATTAGCGCTGCTTCTCGTCATTAAGAGTCATATTTACATTCGGGAAAAGCACTTTGCTGTTTTAGTACATAAATCAAAAGCAGGAGACCCGGCTTGCTCGCAGACTCCTGGGGTCACATTGCTATAAATGTCTGCAGCTCTGGCTGTAAATCAGCCTCCTGAGAGAGACACAGAGAGCTGGAATGACATTAGAGAAATGTAGACTGAACTTAGGAGGCATTTTTGTCTATTTCTGTCGAGGTATCCAAAACAAACCTGATAAATAAGCGTGCAGAAATGCTGCCGTGCCTCACCAAAATTAGATTTCAGCGTCCTGCAAACACAGAGATACTCTCCATTACATTTAAATTGCCCCTTCAGAAACAAAGCCACAAATAACTGCTGCTGCTTCTTAGTGAGAGGTTGGCATTTAATTACAAACACCCACTATTTGATTAACACTTGTTTCTTCTGGTATAATGTGAAAACGGAGCAGTTTAAATAAGCGAAGAGCGACGCAGCAAACTCGACATAACGAGAACAGGAGTGACGCGCCATTAATCTCCATCCAGTTATTGTTTCTGCTTTAGTGGGGGCACACAGACACACAAAATAAACGCACACAATACGACTGTATTCACATGAACAATGAACAATTTCCATTACACCGGACTGAACCAGCTTGCCAGGAAGAGGAGAAAATGATCGCCTCTGTCTGGAAACAATGAGCTGAAATTAGTTGTTGGTGAGAACGCGGTGGGGGTCAAAGGAAAGTCAGGGGATGATTCAACTCTCTGACGTTCATAGCCATCGTCAATGAGGCAGAAAAAGAGGGGGAAGGGGGCAGGGAGGGAGGAGGGTGAGTCGATCTGAGCCTGCCGAGGCTGACTCTGAAAAACCCTGGAGCTGCCTCCCCATTTAGAGAGACTTTGAAGGGGGGACTGCTTGGAAACGGCTGCGGCTTTGATGCAAAGCTCTGTGGATTTGTGTCAAATTGGGCCTCGGTGATGCAGCTTCTCGCAGGCGTCCGTCTCACACACACATACACACACACAGACACACAAACTCCAGGCTGTACGATTTCTCTTATCCGATGCTCTAATGACTGAAATGTGGTTTATCCTCCTCTGAAGCGCAGTTTAGTCGGGCTGAAAGAGGAGAGGGGAAGAAGCCGACAGACGCTCAGGGAGGAGATATAAAAACAGGGCCGGCCGAGGTCACATGGAGCTTTCACACACACACACAGACACACACAGAGCTGTAGTATTAAGACGGCATGTCCTATTAGCTCAGCTGTAGGGGAAGTGTCTCTCCCTGTGAAGAGCTTCAGCTCCCAGAGGAGAGACAAGGCAGTATTCCTTTACAACAGAGGAGACAGATGGAGACAGATGGAGACAGATGGAGGAGGAGCGGCTCGTAAATGAAGCTGAGATGTGATGTGAGTTTGGGCGACCTGTTTGGGTTAGGATGTCAAATATCGGAGCACAAAAAAACAGAAGTTCCTCGATCAGATCAAACTTCCATCAAACTTTGATCTGTATTGATCAGTGAACCCAATTCATACATTTCTGGTCCCTCCTGCTTTTAAATGATATCTCCTATCTTATCCAGAGGCCTGGGGTCTTTCTGAGGGGTGGTTGTGCATCTTCTAACAAACAGGTGGTTACAGTGGAGCATTGGCAGTGGCAGTGAGAATATGCAGCACACTTGTTGACGTGGTAAAATCATAGACTGTATATAGACTGTATATACTATGGACAACTTGGCTCCGCCTTCTGTCATTATATGAATTTGAAGCCGAATCACTCTCGGAGAAGGCGGAATTTATGACCTATACTGCAGCCCGTCACCAGAGGGTGCTGTTCTCGCGGTGACGGTCTTTAGTTGAAATGGACTCTTAGCAGATTCAGCCTGTTGAGTTACATTCAGATTTGTTGGATTTAAACGACTGAATGTTTTGTGTTGAATTTACACAAACATGAGTTTCCTTCAGACCATTTCACTCTGTTCTCTTCTAACACGGTTAAGGTCGACTACACCTTCAGAGTTGTCGTGTTTTCATCCACTTACCAGATGATCTGACCTCCTCGCTCACTTCCCTCCAAGCTACAACTGTACAACTACAACAATTCTCATTTTGATCGAAAGAAACGAGTACAGTAAAGGTCAGGGTTGTGCGCACTGTCACAGTCAGTTTGTGCTTCGTTTTCAGGATGGATGAACCTTCGCTGGTCTGTCGTTGATGGACGTCAGCGGTGGATCTCAATGCTGATTGGTTTGCTTGGTTTTTCCCGATTTTTCAGCTCTTGTGAAAAAGTGAACAGACGGCGAATTTGCAGAACTTGTGTCTGTAACTCGCCCCACATCATTTGCATCACCGGCAAGAACTCTTGCACCGTTGATATCGGAGCATTAAAATGGAGTAAGTTAACGCTTTAATTTGAATAAACGTTCATGCCAGAGGTTCAGTTCCTGAGCAGACCGCCCAGCTATATTTTCCTACCGACCTCGGCTCACTTTCTTTCAATAAGAGGGAAAAAAGTACAAAGCGAAAACTCCTTTTCTAACCTTGGCTGTGGTCAGGAGTGCAGAGTCCTATTATTCAGGCTTTATGGTATCCTTTAATTCACTCAGTGTGCGAAAGGGTGACAGCGATGACAGAAAGATAAAGCCGGATGAAGAAAAAGAGACGTGAAGGTCCCTTTTTCATCCAATTTCCTCCCTCTCCTGCCGCTGCAAACGCCTCTCCGCTCATCACTCAGCCCATCCGGAGCTTTACATAAACACATCAGGCCCTCCCATCCAAGGAGACAGCGATGATATGGAGCCGTGAGTCACTGCGTTTGAGGCATCTATCATTCAGAGTCTGATCTGACATCAGCTCTGAGATCAGCTGCAGGAGCCGTGACTTCAGAGTGACTCTGCAGGAACTAATCCGGATCACATTCAGGAGGAAAACGCAGATATTCAGGGAATCGGGCCGTCAGACGGAGAGATGAACAGCAGGACTTTGATCTTCAAACTTTTTATCAGTCAAGGGCAAAATCAACTTGATTACATTTGAACCAACTTTATCCAGCTTAAAAATTTCATAGAACTCTGTCTCCATCATTCGCACGAATGAATTACATGTTAAGTCAATGCAAAGATGCGATTAGACACTCGTACTTCTCTGGCGGCACAAAAAACTTGAATTGGACAAGAGCTGAAATTGTCTCAACTTGAGCAGATATTCGCGTCACAATAACCAATCAGCATGAAGGTTGCCAGATGATGTATGACAATGAACGGTTGTTCACTGGTATCTAAAATGGAGGACAAACTGATCATGTCGGTGTGTGGTTGCCCCGAATCATATGATACCTTTTCTTTCAGTTACTGAAACAAAAATAGAAAGGAGCTCGCCAGGAAGCAAGTGAGTGAGGAGGTGGGATGACCTGGTAGATTGTAAAAAAACTTTGACTATCACTTGACCCTGCCGGTTGAATAGGCAGGGATTACCGTTGAAATTACCGTTGATGAGCGAATGAAGCGAGTAGATGATTTCAATTGCGCTTGGTGTTGAAGCCCCATTATACTTTGGTTTAACATTCATTTCAGAGCCGTGTCCACTCTCTTGGCTGTTACCCTAAATTCTGTTTTATACAAGCCACAACCTCCAGTGTTTCAAGTGCATAAAACTGCAGTTCCTCAACTGTCCACTGGAGGCTTCAGGAGCCAAGGAACTCCATTACGCCCTGTTAAAAACGCCTTCATCACAGCACAGTTAAGCCTGGTTTAGACATTAGCTCTGCTCCTGCTTTTGCCTGTACCAGTCTCACCTTCACTAAGAAGCGTATCAAACACGTCACACTCCCGCAAATTAACTGCATGCTGAGCGGACAAATTTGACAATTGCAAAGTGTTGCCTGGTATCATCTTTTGGCGTGAAATACAGCCAGACTCTGGAGAGCTTTTGCTCTGACGCCATGCTGGAAAGTTCTGAACCACAACATACTTCTCACGTAAGAGGAACTGATAAGCAGAATCATCAAGAAGGCAGACAAACAATTCTTAGGAATCGAATCACTGGGAACTGGTTTTAAAAAAGAACCGGTTATCAGTTCTCATCCCTACACAGTCTTGAGGTGAGCCTGTAGAGCACAGCAGTGACTTTGAACACGGGTCCTATGTCAGCTCATCATTGAAAAGTCCACCAACCAACAGACCCTGCCAAAGTCAAAACCCGGGCTTTAGCATCTGTAGAAACCCAACAATAAAGAGTGTGGCTTCAGATCACTCTGTATGCAGATCTTCTTTCATTATCTGTTCCCATTTAAAGTCAACATATCTGGGTAACGAGTTACTAATTTGATTATCTGTAAAAAAAGGCCGACACACACGTGAACTTGACGTAATCCTCTTCATAACTGTGACACACCAGCAGGTCCTGAACTCATAATCACGTCTAAAAACAGCATCGCCCGCTCGTCTGCCTCCATTTTCTCTTTAACCCCTATAATGCGAGAGGATCCCCTCACCCTCTTTCATCAGCAGACATTAGATCCTGCGCCTGATGAAAGGCCAACACCAACACTAGCTGCTTCAGATGAAAATAGCCGAGCTCCAATTAGCCAGCCGCTGTTCCCCTTTAGAATAACTCTGTCGGAGAGGATGAGCTTCGATGCCAAGTTGGGACCCGGCCGCGTCCCGCTAATGGGAAACCACGTGTCCCGAAAAAAGAATTAAGACAAAGGTCAGACGACACCAAGTGCGCGGAGTCAATGAGCGTGAAGGCTCTGCAGAGGCTGCGAACTGATTAAACACGCCGAGAGTTTGCAGAAAAGATGAGAAGAAAAAAGATGAAGAGTTGTTCGGGGTTTAAAGTTTAAAGTAGAAGGAGTGAAAAGTAAATGAGGGGAAACTCAAACAGCGTGGCTCTGACTTTGGACTGTTGGGCTGAATGTCACAGTCGATGTTTAAAAGAGACATCCAACAAACCCTCGCTTCAAACGCTTCGTGTTTCTGATGATGAGCTGAGTTCGCACCAGGAATCACTCCTGGACTTTTTTTAACACTAAGATTTTGACGTCATGGAATTTATCGCTGCTTTTTTTCAGTTTTGTTTTGTTTACCTGTCGCTTCCTGAATGAAGAAAAACTTCACCTGAGTATCTCCCAGCTGAGTTCAGTCATGAAAACAGAGCGTACAAACCGTGGACTCAATGTTGGCAGCCATGTTGAAATTGCTGACTCAACCCTAAAGGAGGGGAAAGTTACAAAGTCTGGTGTCCAAACTAGATGTATGCAATTTTTTTTAAATCCCGAGGTAAACGTATTTTGTCCTAATCCTAGAAAACAGATGTAAACTGCTCCAAACGGTTCGTCAGGAGATCACGCGAGATCTCAATGAGACTAACTAACTAATGATGTCATCGCAGTAGTCTATCCTTAAAGAGACAGTAGCTAGAATGAAGCGTTTCATACGGAGGCTGAAATAATGAATATTTTAATACACCAGAGGAGTAAGAAGTATAGAGTAGTATAGTATAGAGTCTAAAAACAGGAGCTGAGGTTGGCTTTTGTGTGTCGATTTTCCTGATACTGATGTAGATACGTATAGGAAACATTTCTTGAAGTTTGTGTTTGTTGTGGAACTTTTTCTGAAATAAGAAAATATAGAAAACACTCCAGACGATGTTCGTCGAACGGCAGCCAAATACCAGAGCTGTCTCAGGAACCAGAAATGAAGGGGACAACCACATTTTGAACAAGTATACCAACGTTTCAACAGTTTTTGAAACTATTCTGTCCCAGCGTTAAAGTATTGAATCGCACATCCAGTCTGAGGAGTTCCCTGAATCCCGTACACCTCCTGATATACCGTCTCTGCGCTGTTTCTGTTAGCTAATGTCAATCACAGATGATTAAATCACTGCGTCTCTGAAAACTTTCCCTGGTTTTAGAAGTCTGTGCCAAGAGAAAGTGTTTCAACTTAAGAGGAAAATGTGCGCCCATCCTGAGGCTTGATGAAAGTTTTATAACAAACACACAGACAGAGAGGAGAGGGAGAGAGAGCGACTGGAGGGGAAGTTTCTGTCGAGCTCAGGGTGTAGTCAGAGACGGAGCTGTCTCACTGTTGGTGCATTTACTGCTTTAAGCAACGACAGAGGAGGCAGCAGCACTGCCAGCTCAGATTCCTACAAATCAACAGCTATAAAACAAGACACTCCTTCAAAGCGGTTTTCTTCCTGAATTTATGTTCAGGTCGTCTGGACGTAGCTGTGCAGATTCAACAAGTTTTCACCGAGGAGACGGCTGCATCTCCTGTGAAACCAAAACAAACATTACCCAGAAGTTTTGATTTCTTAAAATTCACCAGTTTGTTTACAAGTTTTCTGCAGGCTGGGAAAAGACAGAGAAAGGGGAAACATCTCTGGATTTATACGCCAAAACTTTATGACTACATTTAGGCAAAGATCGTGTTTTTATACTAGGAGGAGTTCCCAATAAGTCTAAGAAAACGATAAAAGAAGAGAGAGTTTTGTTTGTGGGGAAACAGACGTTTTTATATCTCAATATTCTGAGTATAATTTGGAAATTTGAAGCCAAAATAAATAAATGTTTACCATTTTTTTTGACTACTTTGTTAGTGATGTGCAAGTGTCAACCTCCTGTCCTGAGACAAGAAGCTGTTGTTTAAGTGCAGTTTCCTGATTGTCCACTTGGGGCTGGCTGTCACACACACACTCAGCTAAAAGGACTGTTTTTAAAGCAGGTGACTGACAGGAAGGCACACTGTAGCCATTTGTAAGGAGGCTGAATGCCGGCCTCTGATAGGCTGGTTGAAAGTTAGAGTTGGAAGCGTCCCAATATTACCAATGCTCGGTCCATAGATGAGCCCTTAAGTTGTGGCCCCGCCCCCTTCGTCCAATTGGACAGAGACTTCTGGGACTGTTTCTTATGTAATGTCTCAGATCGCTGTTTGAATAAGTTTTGATTTTTGTATTTGCCCACCAAGCAACTGTAATAAAAATGTCAGAAGTCATTAAATAGTTTAATTTTTATAATTTATTGTTATATTAATTTATATAATTTACCATTCATTTGGATGGATAGCTTTCACCCAAGGACGTGGTTGGATTTATTTTTATTTTTTTTTGAAAACCAGAGGTGACGTTTGTCTGCTCTCAACCATGCTTAGGTGGTTGTCATAGTAACCAGTTCACAGTTTTCTGCTGCTAGTTTTACGAGCCAGCCTAAAGGTGGTCCTCTAGGAACTGCAGTTTTTAGCACTTCTACATCGGCTTTATTTCTGCAGAAAGACCTGCGGTTGCTGCTTGGTTTTGTTTAACATTTGTTTTATTTATCTTTTTATGAAGCCTAAAATACTCTGTGAATCAAACTTTGAGACGCGACACTCTGAATTTGTGGATGATGCTCAGCTAGCTACAGTTTGAAATGTTCTTGCAGATGATTTCTTTAATAGAGGTCATCTGGGAGCAGATCTGCAAAGACGTTGTCTGCAAAGTGCTGTCTGTCCTTTATTATTAAACCATAAACTGTATATATCAGGACGAAAAAACAGTCAGGCTGTGAAATTTTCACGTGTTTTCTGTTACAGACATGGACAGTTTGTTCTGATCTGGTCTGAACGAGTAAAACACTGAAATAAACTGTCTGATCACAGCCTGTGTATGATCTGCTCCGCTGCAGCTCAGACCAGTTCACGGTGAGTCACCACGGTCTCTAAATACCAAACACAGTGTTCCCAATGAGAATGTGAGCGCGGTGAAGCACAGCTCCATTAACCCTCTCAAAATAGTGTTCAGTTCTCTGTCTGTCTTTATCATCTCAGGCTCACACAGGGAAAAAGGATCTCTGAACGAGCTGCCGATGGTCCTTTTTAGATAATTACATGGTTTACGTCTCTGGAATCAGACCGTTGGATACGGGAAACCGAGCGACAGCAAAACCAAAAAGGAGAGAGGGAAGTGATGGTACACGTTCATCCTGGTCAAACTCAGATCACCTGTGATCTATTTCTCAGAAACTTGTTGATGTTACAGTATTTTTCTGATCATAAGGCGCACTTAGAATCCTTAAATTTTCTCAAAAATTGACAGTGCGCCTTTGTAATCCAGCACGGTTTATATATGATTACTTGTTGTGCTTACTGACCGATTTTATGCGGTACAATGCGCTCAAAAATCTGTCGAAATGTGTAAGTATAACTTTGGTAAGCAACGAAGCCGCTACGCTCAGTGGATATTCTGAGCATTACGGTAGGCTGTGTCACCATACATAAATATAAGAAAGGCTAGATGATTCGAGGCGGAGTCACCGGCATCCCTACACGGCAGCCATCTTACTCCAGTATATGACTCTGGTACATGCTATGGTAACTTATGGGAGATGAGTAACCATTACTTATTGTTGGAGTACGCGCTTGCAACAATAATCCAATCAATGCGCCAATGCTTATTGCACCTTACAATCCGGCGCGCCTTATGTGTGAACATAGCATTAATTCACAGTGCACCGTATAATCCGGTTCGCCTTATTGCCCGAAAAATACGGTAGTCTTAAAATAATTTTTATTTAAGTAAAAAATTTCTCAGAAACCTCGTCTTCATTCAGGTTTTTCTGCACATGCTCATTGACTTACAGGAAGCACACCTTATATGGGGCTCATTGGCCATTCATGGACAAATCTGAGTTTTCTCCCACATGCATGAGTTCATTGAAGGTTATTTTGACTCTCTTGTGCAAACTCACTCCTTTCAGAGCAGAAATGATGAACAATAATGGCTTTAATAACTCCACCATAAAGGATTTTCAATCCGCCTTAAAAGCTGTGTTTCTCCTTCCAGTCTACAGGCTGATCCTGGCCTCTGTCTCTGGCACAGTTGTTCTTATTCATCAATATTCAGCACTCTGACATCCAACTCTGGAGCAACATTAATTTTTCATCTGAGTGATGATCCCCTTGTAAGAGTATAATCTGTTGGAGTCTGAGGGCTGGAAGCGTTTCTGAGACTATCTCTGGGATCCAGACGGAGCGAGTCGTTCGTGGCGTTGATGAAAGTCCTCCGGCTGGAGGCTGAATCCCCTCTGGACAGCAGACAGGATATGAGATCATCATCTTTTTATGATGTTTGATAGAGCCAGAAGTCTCTGTGAGATGAAAGTGCTTATTTGGGGTATTTGTTGGAGGACCTTTCTTCCATTCAGAATCATCTATTTCCAATCATCAATTCCCTGCTCTTTTTTTTTTTAAAGGCAGTTTTATAACCTTGAACCTCAACTTACCCTGTCCAACAAAAGTATGAGAGCAGAGGACTTCAGGGTATTTCAGATTGGATTTTCAGTTTGCAGTTGGCGAGTGAACCAGGTTTAGGTTGCATTGTGGTGCATGTCATGTAGGCCAAGAATCCTCAATCACTGACCGTCCCTGGATCCCCAAACCCTCATCTGCAGTCTCCTCTTTCCTCTGTCATGATTTAACGTAATCCTCTGCAGCTTCTGTTTTCACTAATGGAAACCTGACCAGGACCAGGGGGGTGGTCATGGCTGAAAACCTGCATGCATGGACTCTATTCAGTGTATCATTTCATATCATTATAGATATCACTTCTTAACTGGACTTTCTATAGATATCAGGGTCTGCTGCTGCTGTGGACTGTGCCCACCCACAGGATCTTTGACATTTATCAGAAGGTTTTTTTCATTAGTGTCGTCAGTCCCATGAAGCTATTTAACTTTCCAATTATCCTGAATGAGAAGGTGACGTTCAGAGGAAGACCTGCAAAGAGGACTGTAAAGAAAGGTGAACTATTTAATCACATTTTATGCATCTGCTGACCTGAGAGCAGAGTGTCCATACAGTTTCCTTGTTCTATAACATGTAGTAAAGAATATCATGATCATGAACAAGATCAAAACCGTAAAGACCCACTCTGACGAAAATCATGATTTTCTTGTCGTCTACTTTTTTTCTGCTGCTGCAGGACAAATCATGAGAAAAAATAAGTGAGAAATTATATTTTTGAGTATTTCTTCATTCAAATCTCTGTGAACTCACAGAACCAAACAGCAGGCTCAGAAACAATGAGATTTCCTATGTCACAAGTCCAAGCTCCGCCCCCAGAGCCCTGATATGCAGGCCAGGCTCGGAAAAGTAGAGAGGATGATCGCAGAACAAGCGTGTACGTAAGCAGATTGCAATGTTCGTGAGAAAGCTAGAGAGAGACCTTAACAGCTTCTATGTTACCAGCTACTTCTACTACACCGGAAATGTTAGGCTGCAAGCTAGCGTGAAGAGGAGTGTCCAGAGCAACGCTGTCTCCGCCCACGACTCAGAGGCGAATTACTAATGAGCTACTGGAGCTCTGCAGAGGAAAAGACCTTAAGAATGACACAGATAACGTGATTTTGGGTGAAAATCACAATTTGAAGACCACAGGAACAGGAACGGGTCAGGACGAAAACAAAAACAAAAACATTTTTGACAAACATGTATTTTTGAGAGTTCATCCTCCTGCTCCTGGTTCATGCAGGTTCAAAACTCCTCTGTCACATTTGGAGATGCATTTTAGTCACGGCTCCATGTGGGGTATCACCTCAGCCTCCCAGCACCAAACACGCCGGGGTCAGCTCAGCGAGCTTGGGCTGCACGCTCTCCACAGAAAATCCATTTTGACAGTGTTTTGTGCTGATTATAATGAGAACAAATTGAGCTTTAAGTGCGCTGGCTGCTGATGGAGCGCGGGGTCGTTTGTGTGCGGCCCTGAGGGGTCAGTAAACAGACTCACACAGACACATCAGAGCAGGACAAACCTAATTAATGCCACAACAAGAGTGTGTGGGTGTGACATTTACACACACACACACTCAAAGTGAACACACAGATAGGATTAACTCACGTCCCTGGACATTATAAATCCATTTAAAGTTTTAATGACTAACAGGAAACAGTAATGATTGAATGTTGGAGAGGCAGAGTGGGTTTGTGTCGGCATTTTCAAGCTCTAAGAATAATTTCTTTTAAAAAAGTGAATCTGATGGTTTGAAAATAATTTCACGCCTTAATTTAAATGAAAAAATGTCCGTCGTGTCTGTCACCCGAGGGCCACAAAGATCATGGTCAGTAGGGCTGAAACGATTCCTCGAGTACCTCGATAACAAAAAATGATTGAGGAATTTTCTCTGCCTCGAATACTCGTTTATAAACTCAAATCGTCACTGTTTCGTATGGATTATTGTCAAGGTGACACAATGCGCTTACGTCACCACAGTAGAAGGAGGAGTAAGCATGGTTTTGGTTTTACATGACGTAAAAAATTAATGATGAGAGGGGCTTTTCTTCTGCAGAGCTCCAGTAGCTCTTGAGCGATTCACCTCTGAGTCGTGGGCGAAGACAGTGCCGCTCTTCACACTCTTCTTCACACTAGCTTACAGCCTAACATTACCGGTGTAGTAGCAGAAGCAGGTAACATAGGAGCTATTCAGCTCTCAGACACTAATGTCTTTGGGGACATGATGAAAGTTAATATCATAATTAGCTTTCTTACGAGAATTGCAAACCGATAACGCACACACCTGTTCTGTGATTGTTCCACGGTAATTGCACTTTAACAAAAAAAAATTGTGTTTTATCTGATAACTCGATTAATTGATGGAATATTCGGTGGAGTACTCGATTAATAAAATATTCAATAGCTGCAGCTCTATCAGACAGTATCAATTTTGAGTCATCTCCCTCATCAGGTAAAATCTCCAAGTGTCGCTTTTTTTGCTGATTATTATTCTGAAATTGTTGATTTATTATTTATTAATCAAAGGTGCTGCAAGGAACTTTCAGTCTCTGTTGACTTTGGCGCCCCCTGTGGACAAAATGGTAACTCCTATAATTGATAATTTTGTCTAAAAGTGTGGTTAACTGACAAAAAAACTCCTTTTAATGTCTTTTTACGATTAGATATACAGCATTAATAGGAATTAAAAATGTTAGTATAGACATTGTCAGTTTTATCACCGTTTGTCTCATTAGCTTTTGTACATCACAGAGTTGCATTACTGTTCATTTCAGCCCATTACATAGCCTATTAAAAACTTGTTACAGAAGCTTTAAGGGATGTTTTACACAACTTTTGCGGTGACTTGTTGCGCCTGCTCCGACTTTTATTCTTGCATATTTTTTTGCACTATTTCCAGTTTCCAAACAAAATGCTTTTATTCTTAAAAAACAGTTTTAATCTTATACAAAAGTCAGTTTTTTCTCAGTTCGTTGGTCCCTTTGCCGAACTCCAGAGGCTCCTTTTCCCCGCAGAGCTTTAATGTTGACTATCTGACCAATAGGCTGTAATTATTATGTAAACAGGCTTTCAGAGGGATCACTGGCTGGGCTCCATTTGGCTGTGGTGGCTCCACAGCAGCAAGAGGAAAGACTAAATCACTAAACAGAGAGCAGACGGCAGGTTTTTGACACTGAATCTCAGTCAGCTGATAATCAAACAGCAGCAGCTTTCACGGATTTTAAAGCAGAGGCATTACGGTAGCTTTTCTATTTGGGCTCAGTCATGTGAAAAATGTGTTTATTGGTCTTTATTGTTCACATTGCCGCTGGTACACTCGCTATTTTGTTTACTCGCAGCTCAAAGCATCCTGTTCAAATTTGCAACCAGCCGTGTTTTTCTTTTTGTGAGCCAAAAAAGAAATGAAGTGGAAACTAAACTGGCCCTGCTCCACTCTTCACTCCGAACTGTAAAAGAATATATCAGTCCAAGGCTGTTTGAGTTTACAGGAAGAGGATCAGGACTGAATCACTCCAGTGTTTGTTTATGTCTGTTTACAATAAGTAATAAGTTCACCATGTGAGGAGGTTGACTATGTTATAGAAGGTTTTACAAGGACTGACTCAGAGTGCATTCATGTAAGACACTGAGCTGGTTTCTCAGGGTCTACCCTGTTGGGTGCCTCAGGGGTCACTGCTTGCAACAATAGTCGACAGTGGAATTCATTGTCGACTTTTTTCATGATAGATTTTTGTCGATATCGTCGACTAATCAATGCAGCCCTACTCTTAATGGATCAAAAAATGCTTCTCACAGCTCAACCTATCATTGACTGAGTTTCTTGTTGACCCTTGTTTAAGGTGCTTATACCATCACACATTAACAACTGCAGGTCTGAACGCTTGAACTTCTGCAGATGATCCAAACAATTTGAATTTGGCGTCTCGGCTCCAAACCTCACTATAAACTGAAGTCGTATCAACAAAGTCATTTCATCAGCTTAGTCCTAACCTTAAAGGACTTGACCTGCATAAACCAGCCAGGCCGAGTTAAACTGAGATGGTCTGACCTTTAGGGGACTTCGTGCTTCATCACCAACATTTCAAATTTTAGTGCATCTGCCTTTTAAAACATTTCCACAGCTTCCTACAGAGTTAAAACCAAATACCGTCATTTAACAGTGTATAACTTAGAGGTTTATAAGACTGCGATGTCTCTGTTGTATTGCGAAGATTTACTGGAAAAGTGGAGCTGTGAAGGATGCACCACAGAAGAAGAATTCAGCCTTCACCACTTTAAAATTGGACCCATTTATTGGTCTTTTGAGGAGTCCTCCAAACAGGACAGCCTTCAACACACCGCTGTGACGCACACTTCGACTTTGACCCTGACAGCCGACACACTGCTTTTGTGTTTTCTGCAAAACATCTGGGCTTTGTGAGTATTATCACGCTGTAAATGAGCGATATTGAAAAAATCTGGATAATATCAGAGTTTGGACTCAGACTTCATAAAATCACACATCAATTGTTGTAAACTGGGTTTGATCGGAGTCCAGACCTGTTCTGTTTGGTCCCAGTTTGTCCCTGTACAAAAAAAAAAAACCCTCTTCAGGAAATGTGCACGGTTAAAAAAGAGTGAACACACAGACAGTGACACAGCAGAGATGATTTCGAGCAGCAGCTGTTGTTTGTGAGAACATTCCCACACATGGAGTCTGAATGGATCAGGAACAGTTTGTAGATTCAGATACATGAGCAGGCTGAC